TAAGAGGAATTCATAAAAGTAAAGAAAAAGAAAAAGCCCCCCACAGTTTTCTCAATTACAGTTACCCTATCTTTTAAAAATTTTGTTCCTTTTATTTTATTTTTTTTTAAAAATACCCACTCCAGGCATAGTCATTTCCTTATGCATTATTTTTTTCGAATAGTACTTAATTTTATTTTGGAGAAATGTAGTTATAAAAATGGTCTAATTTTATTTTGTACTTTTAGAATTATTAGTGAAATTGAGCATGTTTTCATATATTTACTAGCCACTCATCTTCTGTGAATTGCTTCATATTTCTTCAACAGTTTTTCCATTGAATAGTTTGATGAATATATCATACAACCTTATGTATTAGTTATGTAAACCTTTTGACTGCTAGTTTTTTCACATTATGTTTTGAAAGACTTTTTAATTTTATTTTTTGTTGTTAATCCTCACCTGAAGATATTTTTCTGTTTATTTTTAGGGAGAGTGGAAGAGAGAGGGGGAAGACAGAGAGAAACATCAGTGTGAGAGAAACACATCCATTGGTTGCCTCCTGCATGAACCCCAACCAGGGCCTCCCGGCTGGGAGAAGCCTGCAACCACTTTACTTGCCCTCAACTGGAATTGAACCTGGGGACCCTTTGGTCTGCAAGCCAGTGCTCTATCCACTGAGCTAAATTGGCTAGGGCTAAAGACTTTCTTTAAAATTGAAATTTAGAGAGAGAGGAAGGGAAAGGAGGAGAGAGAGAGAAACATCGATTAGCTGCCTCCTGTGTACCCCTACTGAGGATCAAGCCTGCAACCTGGGATGTGCCCTGATGGGAAATTGAACCCACAACCCTTTCAGTGCATGGGATGACTCTCAACCAACTGAGCCACACGGGCCAGGGCTGTGCATTCTTTTACTTCTTGTCTGTTACTTGTCTTTTTATTTGTCAGTGCTATAGTGTATTGCCCCCCCCCCTTTATTTAAACAGAACTTAAACATTTTTATGTAGGCAAATATATGTGTATATTTTTTTTCTTTCTGGTTTCTGGATTTTGTCTTGCTTAGGAAAATCTGCCTTATCTCGATATAATGAAATTATTCTTTGGTATTTTTCCTAATAGTTTTTATGACTTTATTTTTCTTTTCATAGTAGCCCTTGCCACCTCCCACATTTTAAAGTTTGATATAAGTTATTTTTCCAGAGGATAGTCAGTTGATCTGGTAATATGTTACTGACAAATCTATTCTTCTACCACTGATTTGAAATATTACCTTTATCATATTAAATTTCTATGTACATACTAATAACTGCTTTATGTCTTTAATTAGTTATGTTTATTATGTATTGGTTTTGTTGTAAGAGCTCAATAGAATGTTTCAGTACCTGATAACACAAGTCTTCTCTTGTTCTTGTTTTTCAAAAATTTCTTTGGTATTCTCACAGATTTATTTTTATTGAACTTCAGAATCAGCTTGCCATTTTGAATACCTGCCTCCCCATCTTCCAATCTATTATAACATCTCACTATTTTTACTCTACTCTTATTAGCTTAACTTGAGCTACCATTTTCTCTTGCCTAAACTATCTTTAATATACAGCAGCAAGAAGGCTCTTTTTAAAACATAAAAATCAGTTCATGTTACTTCCTTATTTACATCCCTGTTTTTTCTTCTCTTCCTTTCATTATCTATTACTGACTACTCCAAAGCTTAAAACAACCTGTTTTGTGCACAATTTTGCGAGTCAGAAATTTATGACCCGTTCAGCTGATCAAACCAATTAAGTGCTGTTCCTGGCATAGTGTCCCTTCTGCCATATTTTGTTGGTCAGAACAGTCACAAGATCTGCCTAGATGAGGTGGGGTGGGGTGGGGGGGTAGGAGGGAAGAAGGAAAATGAAAAGTAGACTCTGCTTCTTAATGTGGGAATGGCAAGGTCTTATTGCAGGAGAGCATGTGGGATGAGAAATACTGTGACCATACTTAGAAAATATAACCTGCTGCATCATCAAATTCAGAATCTATTCAAAGCTCTTAACATGGCTCGTATGGCTTTCCATGATCTGATTCACACCTGTTTTTCTCTGACCTTTTCTACTATGCTTTCTTCATTTGTAACCTTTGGTTTAGCCACAGGGGCCTCTTAGCTAGGCTTTGAATATGCCACACTCATTTCAACTCAGCTCTGTTTTTTATTTTTTTTATTTTTTTACCTCCCATCTTCTTCAGATCTTTGCATGGGTCTTCCCATTCTCCTACTTTACTTAGGTGTCCAGAAAGCTTTCCCTGACCACTTTATCTGACAAAATCTTAGTCATTTACTACTTGCTCTGTATAGATTTTTGTGATGTTTATGGGAGCCTGGGGGCCCTGAATACATGCCTGGCTTCTGAATAAGTTGAGAAGTAGAAGAGTAAAGATGGAGACCAAAACATATATGAAATAAAAGTTTTACTGGTCATTGTGATGTTGGAGACCCAAATGAGCCTATTAAATACATCTCAGAATTAGTCAGATTTACCCATTCATTCCCAAGCAGTGTTGCTCACTCTCCTCTGCAGTTGATCAACTCTTGGCATGTTGACATAGGGGAACATTCTTGTACTCTGCAGCAAGCCTGTTCCCAAGAGAAGAGGGTAGAGCTGAGTTGTGCATGCCCAGTTATTTGTCTCGTTTTTTATCTAACTGACTAAAGGGGAGGGGGGTGGCCCTAGCTGGTTTGGCTCAGTGGATAGAGCGTCAGACTGTGGACGGAAGAGTCCCAGGATCGATTCCGATCAAGGGCGCATGCCTGGGTTGCGGGCTTGATCCCCAGGTGGGAGTGTGCAGGAGGCAGCCAATCAGTGATTCTCTCATCATTGATGTTTCTATCTTTCTCCCTTTCCCTTCCTCTCTGAAATCAATAAAAATATTTTAAAAATTAAAAAAAAATAAAGGGGAAGAGGCTGAAAGGAAGGGAATAAAGGAAATGAGAAACAGGATAGATTGAGGTACTATTTACTAAAAAAGAAAACATAGTAGGAAGATTATAAATTAAATTTTAGGAACACTGAGTTTTGGTTTTTTTTAAAAATATATTTTATTGATTTTTTTATAGAGAGGAAGGGAGACGGATAGAGAGTTAGAAACATCGATGAGAGGGAAACATCGATCAGCTGCCTCCTGCACACCCCCCACTTGGGATGTGCCTGCAACCAAGGCACATGCCCTTGACCGGAATCGAACCCGGGACCCTTGAGTCCGCAGGCCGATGCTTTATCCACTGAGCCAAACTTGTTAGGGTGGAACACTGAGTTTGAAGTGCCTAAAAGATACCTGTGTGGAGATTCCTAGTAGGCATTTGGATAATGCATTTGAAGATAGAGATTTAGTAGTTCTAATAGTTTCCTGTTGCCTGTAACAAACTACTATAAACATAATTCTATCTAATAAAAGACAAAAAGGGTAATTGACTGTACCTTCGCTACGCTTCCCATTGGCTAATCAGGGCGATATGCAAATTAACCGCCAACCGAGATGGCGGCTGGCAGCCACACAGCTGAAGCGAGCAGGAGGCTTGCTTGCTCCAGTGATGGAGGAAGCCAAGGTTCCCCGCCTGCCGAGGCCTGGCTCTAAGCTCCAAAAGCAACGAAGTTTCAATTATAGAAGCTAAACAAACGCCAGATACCTGCTTTCAGCAGGCTGTGGCCTCAGAGCTGGAGCCGGCTCTCAGCTCCAGTGACGGCAACAAAGTTTCAATTATAGAAGGTAAATAAGTCCCCAAATAAAAAAAATAAATAAAAAATGGAGAGGCTGGGAGCTTCAGTTGCCGGCCAGCCTGAAAACGGCCCTCAGCCCCTCACCCAGACTTGCCAGGCACCCCAGTGGGGACCCCTACCCTGAAGGGGGTGTGACCAGCTGCAAACAGCCATCAGCCCCTCACCCAGGCTGGCCAGGCACCCAAGCGGGACCCCCACCCTGATCCGGGACACCCTTCAGGGCAAACCAGTCGGCCCCCACCCGTGCACCAGGCCTCTGTCCTATATAGTAAAAGGGTAATATGCAAACTGACCCTAACAGCAGAAAGTCTGGGAATGACTGATCACTATGACACACACTGACCACCAGGGGGCAGACGCTCAATGCAGGAGCTGCCCTCTGGTGGTCAGTGCGCTCCCACATGGGGGAGCTCTGCTCAGCCACAAGCCAGGCTGATGGCTGCCAGTACAGTGGTGGTGGTGGGAGCCTTTCCTGTCTCCTCAGCAGCCCTAAGGATGTCTGACTGCAGCTTAGGCCTGCTCCCCGCTGGCAAGTGGACATCCCCCGAGGGCTGCCGGGCTGCCAGAGGGATGTCTGATTGCCAGCTTAGGCCCGATCCCCTGGGGAGCAGACCTAAGCCAGCAGGTGGTCATCCCCCAAGGGGTCCCAGACTGCGAGAGGGCGCAGGCCGGGCTGAGGGACACCCCCCCTCCCCAAGTGCACAAATTTTTGTGCACCGGGCCTCTAGTGGTTTAATAAAAGCCCACAAAATTATCTAATGGTTTTTGTGGGTCAGAGATGTGGGTATTGGTTAGCTGGTTCTCTGCTCAGGCTCTTATTAGACTGAACTCAGTGTGTTGGTCAGGGCTTTGAGTTTATTTGAAGCTTGCGTTCCACCCAATCTCATTAGCTGGTAGAATTTAGATTCTTTCAGTTGCAGAACTGAGGCCCTCAGCTTGGAGAGGCCCCTTGCTGTTTCCTGCCATGTGACCTTCCCCACAGTAAGGTAGTTTGCTTCTTCGAGGCCAACAGAAAGTATTTTTGTGGCTTTAAATCTCTTATGACTCAGCTGGTTGAGACAGGCTCATTCAAGTAATCTTTCTTTTGATTAACTCAAAGTGAACTGATTAGGGATCTTAATTGCATTTATGAAGTCCCTTATGCCATACAATAGTGTGTGTGTGTGTGTGTGTGTGTGTGTGTGTGTGTGTGTGTGTAGAGAGGAGAGAAAGAGAGAGAGAGAGAGAGAGATTGAGATTATGAGGACCTGGTTTATGTCATTATAGAGGCTGAGAAATCCCACTATCTGCCATCTGCAAGCTGGAGACCCAGGAAGGTTGGTGATCTAATTCATCAGTCTGAGTCCAAAGGCCTAAGTACCTGGGGAGCTGGTGGATTCTAGTCTGGGGAGTCTGGGTCTGAAGACCTAAGAACCAGGATTGCCAGGGCAGAAGGTCAATGTCCTAGCGCAAACAGCCTGGTGGAAAGGACTAATTCTTCCTTCCTTTCTGCCTTTTTGTTGTATGTAGGCCCTCAATGGATTGGATGATGCCCACCCACAGTAGGGCGGGGAAAACTGCTTACTAGGTGCATCTATGCAAATGCTATTATAATCCAGACACACTCTCAGAGACACACATGGAAATAATGAATAATGTTTAGCCAAATACCTATGAACCTTGTAATCCAATCAAGTTTACACATAAAATTAACCATCACAGAGGGATTTGGGGAGATTCACAAGCTACATTACAGCCATTGATGGCTTCTAAAATGCCCCCCCTTTTTGATCTTTCAGATTTTTTCCCCTTTGTAATCTTTATATTTAACATTATGTAATTCTATAGCTTCTGTTCTGCCCCTTCCTCCAAAGTCTAAAAATGCTTTCCCTCTTTTATTGAGTACTTCTTTACTCGTGAATTAGTCACTTATTATTAACTGACTTAGGAAACTCAGTCTCTTTTTACCTTTGTTTGCACCAGTTAGAAATGAGAAAGATGGACTGAGCTTTGTTTTTCACAGTGGAACCTTACCAGTGTTCTTGATTAGCATTAGCAGGATCTAATGATTAGATAATAAGTGTGTTCATGGTGCTTTCAATACAGAATGCTACTTTGGAACAGAATAGACATGAACTTCTTGGTAATACAACTTAACTCATTCTCAGATAAATGTAAATGTGGTCCCCTTAAAGGATGTATTTTTCTTGAGACTTACCTGTTTGTTGTGCCATTATTTCCTCAACTGTGTACCTGAGAGTGGTTATCTTACCTGAGTTAGCCTAACTCTGTTTATTCCAGGGTATAGTTTGTCCTAATTTTTTAACAACCTGCAGTTGTTTGCAATTATTGACTAGAGCAGTGGTTCTCAACCTTGGCTGCACATTAGAATCACCTGGGAATCTTTTTAAAATCTTGATTTCTGGGCCTCATCCTCCGGAAATTCTGTTTCTTTGTTACTAATGTTGTGGCCCCACCCAAGAGGTTCTGGGCTGGCAGGAGGTGCTCACTCTTACACCCCTGTCCTTGGTAGCTTGCTTGCCTGCTGCTGCCGTTGTGGCCCCACCCCATAACAAAGAAACAGAATTTCCGGAGGATGAGGCCCAGAAATCAGGATTTTAAAAAGATTCCCAGGTGCTTCTAATGTGCAGCCAAGGTTGAGAACCACTGGACTAGAGGTATGGGACATAGATTTTTTTTGGTCTCATGTCCTGTTAGTGCTTGAGTTCAATGTCTAAGAGAAAGGATTGTGTGCATTTTATTGCAAACATTCTCTGAAATAATTTTTAGCTACAAGGAAATAGCTCTATTTCTGTGAGTCATCATTCTTTTTTATGTAGAGCTGGGTAAGGATTTAATTTTGTAGATAGAGTTTATGACTTCCAGAAGGAGAGCTGCAAAAATTGAAATTTCCAAAGAATTTTAGATTTGCTATAAATACTGTTATATATAGAAAGTTGGAGCTTAAGATACTAATATAGGTAATTGGTTGATAAAATTTTCCTAAAATCTCATGATTTTCAATGAGGAATAGAGTTCTTTTTAGTCATTTTCAAGTGTAAGCTAACATGTGTTTTCTTTCATTTTTTTTTTAAAGCTTCCAATAAAAACAGGACAGCAGAACACACATACCAAAGTCAGTACCGAACACAACAAGGAATGTCTTATCAATATTTCCAAATACAAGTTTTCTTTGGTTATAAGTGGCCTCACTACTATTTTAAAGAATGTTAACAATATGGTGAGTAATTGGGTTACTGTCCCTTTGGGGAGTTTACTTTGGTTTGCTTTTTATTTAAAAATTTGGAGCAGCATATTTTGAAATATGGAAAGTCATTTTTTGTGAACATTTTATTTTGTGGATAAGCACAGATAACCTTTTAACTTTCATTTTAGTTTTTTATTCTTTCCCTTAGATACTTTTCTTATTTGTGACTTTTTTTATTTTTCTGAAATTAGGATTGCATATAGATTTTATGTCATATACGAATTGACCATAGTAATCTATTCAGATGTTCTCCTTACCTCCTTATTTGAATATTTACATATAAAATTGTCCCAGTCCTATGTAGATGGTAAATTAAATATGACCGTATACTGTCCTAGTGGGTTTGGCTCAGTGGTAGAAACTCAGCTCGTAGACTGAAAGGTTGTGGGTTTGATTTCAGTCAGGGACACGTACATAAGGTGCTGGCTCACAGGTTGATGTGTCTCTTACGTTGATGTATCTCTCTCTGTGTCTCTCCCCCTCCCTTCAACTATGTCTAAAAATCAATGGAAAAAATGTCTTTGGGTGAGGATTAAAAGAAAAAAAATGAACTTATAGTCCTAAAATATAAGATTGTTTTTATGAAAATGTTATTTCCTTCATCCTAGAGCTTGTGACAGATTCTGCAGTAGGTAGAGAACCCATTTTTGAAGTGTTCCCAAATACCAATATCCTCAAATTACTCCAAAAGCTTCTTTTCCCCCCATTTTATAAAATCTGTTCACATTCCATAGACTTCAGGGTACTCAAGCTATTCTCTCTCTGTACATTTGAACATATTTCTCCTGTCTCAGGTGATTCCTTCCTTTCTGTCAATTCCTAACTAAAATTTCCTTCATATTCAGTTCAAATCAATTGATTCGGATATTTCTTGACTAAATTGTAATTGCTCTGATTGTCTTTAGCACTTACAACCACGATTTGTATTGTTTGTTTTGAACTCTGGAAATGACTTTTGGTTGTAGGTTGTGAAAATTAGTCACATTTTTATAGTCACATCATCTTTGGTGTGTGTGTGTGTGTTTTTAAAAAAAGCTCATTAGACAATACTTAAAACTTACAAAATGGATAAACTGGAGTTGTGGAAAATCTTTTGCCTTTCTATATGGAAGAAAATATTTTTTGAAAAAACGCAGGGCTTTTAATAAATATGTAAAGTGATTTACAGAAATTTATTTAAGATTTTGTGGAGCTCTTTTGTTGCTATGTGTGTGGGGCACAGTGATAGGATTTTACTTATATAATAAGTGGCCATGCTCCCATTTAGATGGAAAATATTTTAATACTTGAAACCTTTTAAAAACAAAAAACACACACCAATATTATGATATTGACATTCATTTAGTTCTTATTGAGTAAATTGAATTGTGGAAACAATAGTCTCTTGTTGGTAAATAGTGTAGTATTAAATTTAAGAATAGTGAATGCTTAAAATTATTTGTAATTGATATTCTAGTCTTTTTTTTTGCTTTAAGAATTTAGACCTTAATTATTTTGTGTCATCAAAGTGTGGTTAAATGCTCCATTCAAGATTCTGTTAAAGATCAGGGTGTATATCTAAATCCTATGTATTTTTAAAGTATATAAACCAGTGTATCTTCTTTTACTGTTACAAGGCTAATGGCAGACTGTAATGAATACCGGCAGTTTTGTTTGCTTGATAATTTATTTTGTGTGAGCATTAGGATAGAATTAGAAATAATAGATTTAAATATAGTATAATTTGGGAGATAAAATGGAAGACTACTGATTTTCGTGATTCTTAGCCTCTGACTTTTCAGATGTGTGCTGATTTGTAGTGGAGAGTAATAACCAACTTTTAGTGTTCTGAATATCTTTTCTCTTAGAGAATATTTGGAGAAGCTGCTGAAAAAAATTTATATCTCTCTCAGTTGATTATATTGGATACACTGGAAAAATGTCTTGCTGGGGTAAGTAAATCTGTTCTTCAGTAGGCAGGTTTTGTGAATTTAAGTTTGAGTTAATCTGATGTACCAAAATATAGGTGTTGACAAGGAGAACTTTTTGGACTCATGGGCTTTTTGTCTAAGACATGCATATGAATTTTTAAAACAGCTGACTAGGTGGCATAAACAAGTTTTCAAGATAAAATCATTTTCTCATCTTTTTAAAAAAATGTATTTTTATTGATTTCAGAGAGGAAGGGAGAAAGAGAGAGAAATAGAAACATCAGTGATGAGAGAGAATCATTGATCGGCTACCTCCTGCATGCCCCCACTGGGGATCGAGCCTATAACCTGGGCATGTGCCCTGATAGGGAATTGAACCTTGACCTCCTGGTTCATAGGTTGACACTCAACCACTGGGCCACACTGGCTGGGCATTTTCTTATCTTTTATAAATTAAATAGATATTAAGTTTACTTATAAAGTGTTAAACTTGAGCCACATATATCTTGGGTTTTAAAGAAAACATTTTATGGAAAAAAAAGCCACGATTTGATTTAATTAGTTTTTCAGATATTGTTAGGCCTGTAGCATTGTTTAGTTTTGAAAGGATGTGAGGCAAAAGACCAAGAGTTGTCTTGTTTCCCCTGTATGAATCTGATTTTAATGTTTTTTCAAATCTACATAAAAATGAGCTTAAAAAGTTAAACTATTACTGATAGATCCTACCTGAAGAATACTTGTTATTTATAAAAATGAACATACAAAATAGAGATACGTGGAGGATTAGTTGAGTACAAGACAGTTCTTACTCAGATTTCCTCTAAATAGTTATCTCAGTGTATTTCAACCATGACTTAATTGGAACTTTTTCAAGAATCTTCCTGTTGTATAAAACAAAGTATTTCTATATTTCAGTAGCCTTAATTCTTCTGAGAACATGGTAGAAGTTCAAATAAGTAAATAAATTTAATACTTCCATTTAAAAGATCTGGCTATTCAATATGTATTGGAATTAACTTATTTCATATATCCTGTCTTCTTTTGGCACATCATTTGCTTTTATTCAGAATTGCTTTTCTTCCACATATGTTATGGTTATTCTCTATAGTAAACCTAGATGGAAGGGACTTTGCTATGTGTGGTTGAGAAGATAGGGGATAGTCGTGTTTGGGGAAGGGATACGGTAGTGTTGGAAAACATAATTACATTCACATACACTGTATCCTTAGGGAAGAGAAGTATTTAAGATTATAGGCCACAAAACCCTAAGGATAATGTTTTAAAACTCGTTTATTGCTCTAGCTGGTTTGGCTCAATGGATAGAGCATCAGCCTGTGGAGTAAAGGGTCCCAGGTTCAATTCCGGTCAAGGCCACATACCTCTCAGTTGCAGGCTCCTTCTTGGCCCAGGCCCTGGTCAGGGCTTGTGCAGGAGGCAACCAATCAATGTGTTTGTCTCACATTGATGTTTCTCTTTGTCTTTCCCTCTCTCTTCCACTCTCTCTAAAAAAAAAGGCAATGGAAAAATATCCTCGAGTGAGGATAAAAAATAAATAAATAATATTAAGGAACAACTCTCATTAAAATAACCCCACAAAACTCTTTTATTGATCGTTGGCCATATTCCAAAATTGTAAGAGTGTTTTTAAGTTTTCCACTTAAATTGAGGGTGAGCTAGTTCCGTTTTAGCTTGGTGTTTTTTGTTAATTTATGATATGCTATTGTTCATCCTATATAGTGAAAGGCTAATATGCAAATTGTCTCTCGACCAGGAGTTTGACCAGAGGGTGGGGCCAGCCAGCCAACTGCCCGTGGCCCCTCCCCCTGGCCAGCTCCGCCCCCAACCGCCCCCCTACCCCAATCGGGGGATGGGGCTGGCCCACCAACTACCTGTGGCCTCTCCCCCACTGCTGGCCCTTCCTAATCGGCCTTGATGGGTCGGGCCAGCCGGACCCCACCTGTGCACGAATTCATGCACCAGGCCTCTACTTTATAAAATGAAAGGGCTTTTAAACAGGATGGTGGCCTTGTGGAGGTGGACAATTTTAAAAATAGGAATCACTCTTTGTAGTCTTATTGTTTTGATTGTATATACCAGTGTCCTAGCCACTCTCATGTTTGAATAGGGTGGTTTATTGTCTCTCTTAGTTCTACAGCTTTTCTCTATTAATGTTTGTAATTGAGAGTTAATGGTAAATGTGTTTTGGGGAATGATATTATTGGCCTGCTAATTTGGTACTCTTTGGAGATAGCCTAATTGAAACTCTAGTAACTCTAATTGGGCATGGTAAAACTTATATTATGCACAAAATATATCTTATTTTGCTCTGCTCTACAATTGAAAATGTTTAAGATTTTAAAATTAAATTTATAATTAAAAATAATACATTTCACATTATTGAACAATTGTGTTTTGTTAGATTGCCATCAATGATTTTATGGTTGTCTCTTGATTTTCATTTTTAAATCAAAGTAAATTGAGGAAGTTCGAGATTAACTGAGCTTACAAGTACATGTTTACCTCATAAGTAGTTGAAACATCTAGTGAAAATGAACAAATACTTACCAATATCTTATAAGTAAGATTTTATAGAATTTGAAGAATCTTAAATAGTTTTGTTGCTGTATCTATGACCACTATTCAAAAGATTGAACACTTACACAATTTTCATTTGTATATAATTGGAGTTATTTTCAACATCTGTATTGTTTGGTTAGCCTATAAATGAAAAATAGACATTGTAACTCAAATTTTATATTTTTTGTGATATGTATTTATTTACTATCCATATATTTCAGTGTATTTGAATCTGAAAGCACTTGGATTGTAATTACAGAATTGAGCATAGCACACAGTTATATAAGCTTTTGTTCTGTCATCTTGCTTGGTATTATCAAAATTGTCATTGATAGATGGATACTAAAGCTGTTAGGTGAAATATTGATATGGAACAGTATATCTGCAGGATAGCTTATCCATTGATTGATTTGTTAATTGTAAAGGAGAGATTTATTTTACAAAATAGAGATTTTGGTGTTAACACTGAAGTTATCAAACTTGGTGTCATTTACAGTGTAATCACTTGGGATTATGTACTCCTAATGTGATATAATTTGAACTGTATTACCTAAAGTGTTTAACCTGAATGATATCAGACCCAGGTTTAGGTTCCACCTTACAGAAAATACAGTAATTACAATAACAAGTTGTCACATTTTGTAAGGCAACTGGCCCACTTTTTAAAAAAATGTCAATGTTATAGAAAATAAAGATGATGTATATGGAGGGAGATAGTTTTAGAATAAAGAAACTAAAGGAAGATCAACCAGAGGACTTATATCAGTGATGGCGAACCTTTTGAGCTCGGCGTGTCAGCATTTTGAAAAACCCTAACTTAACTCTGGTGCCGTGTCACATATAGAAATTTTTTGATATTTGCAACCATAGTAAAACAAGGACTTATATTTTTGATATTTATTTTACATATTTAAATGCCATTTAACAAAGAAAAATCAACCAAAAAAATGAGTTCACGTGTCACCTCTGACACACGTGTCATAGGTTCGCCATCACTGACTTATATGCATGCATATAGGCCTAACCAATGGACACAGACAACGGGGGTGAGGGCATAAGTGGGGGGGATGAGGGGTAGTATGGGGATAAGGATACATATGTAATAACTTAATCAATAAAGAAATTAAAAAAAAACTAAAGGAACATAATCATGTTACAATCTATGAACCTCTTTTGAAGCAATAAAAGTCATTTTGGGGGTTGTTAGGGAAATTTGATTACAGATTGGGTGTTAGCTGATACAAGGGAATTGTTTATTTTTCCTTGATGTTATGATTGACTGAAATTATATTGGAGAATGTCCTTATTTTTAAGAGATGCTGGAGTATGTAGGGCTGAAGTATTATGTTTGTAACTTTGAAATGGATTAACCAAAAGAAAGTTATTTGTAATAAATAATATTTATCTGTTTTGGTCAATCTACTCAAAGGCAGGTGTGATGGCCCATCCAGAAAATTATTTGGATGTTGAGACAGATGACACATTCACTCACTAAGGAACATGAATAATGTTTATTTAGAACTCACAACAAACTGAGGATTCCCAGGAGCAGAGGACTCCTGTAGGGATTTGATAAATGGGACAGGCAGGAGTGTGTGTGTGGGGGGCTGAGGAAGATGGATGGATGGGGGCTGGACTTTTATTGTGATTAAAGAGGCGAAAGATGGAACCATCCTCTTTATTAGACTGACTGTATATATAGCAAACATGATGAAATGTAAACAATTATTGAATCTAATTAGGTGATGAGTATATATAAGGGTGTTAGTTATTCTGTTTCAACTCATGTATTTGAAAATTTTCATAATAGAAAATATTTACATGTGAATTTAAGGAAGTTTTAGAATTGTGATTATTTCTATTTTAGCAACCAAAGGACACAATGAGATTAGATGAAACAATGCTGGTCAAACAGTTGCTGCCAGAAATCTGCCATTTTCTTCACACCTGTCGTGAAGGAAACCAACATGCAGCTGAACTTCGGAATTCTGCCTCTGGAGTTTTATTTTCTCTCAGCTGCAACAACTTCAATGCAGTCTTTAGTCGCATTTCTACCAGGTTAGTGTGTAAATCTACATAGGACTATTGTAAGTAATACACATTTTAGAAGTTTTTCTTATCGTCTGCATAAAAATTAAAAGTTGACAGAAATGAGTTTGACCTCAGCTTTTGTAGAAATTTTATGCATTGATTTCTTTGAAATTTTTATTACTGTGATAGTGGTGTGTACAATTAAATATGAGTACTGTTACAAAAATCAAAAGTCTAAATTTTAGGAAATGTTACCAATGACCACGCTTTTTTTCCCTTTGAACACTAGGAATGAATTTTTGACTTTTTAACATATTATTTCTTCAAATGAAATTAACCAGATAGAATAATTGATGAGTAGTCAGAATTCTAATGATCTCACAGCTCTACTCCTTATCACAAGAGCCTAAGTTATAAAACAAACAAACAAATAAACCCCTAAACCAAAATGTCTCAAAAATATGGAAGCACAAGGAAGAGAATAATTGTCAAGTAGAAACCTCCAGAAAGTGGTCTGTGTTTTAACTTTACAAACTGCAGAAATTTCCATTTGTTGAGCATTTGCAGAATGCTGTTTTAGCCTCATAGTATCTTTGAAATGTATGTGGTAACTCCTCATTTTACAGGTAAGCAAACTAATACCCAAAGAAGTTATCAAGGCAATTTGCCAAAATGGAGGACCCATTATTTCTAAGATGGACTGGCGTCAGAGTCTATTAGTGTTGTTATACCAGGTTTGCTACTTCTGTTTTAACCACATTTTAATGATATTTCTTTTGTAATATATATTGCTGTGCTTTAAAATTGTATGATAAAATCATCATGTGATCATTAGTTGTTATATCCTGCAGATAGAGAAATTGGTATACATGGTGCAAAATGGAATTGAATTATAATTGACAGTAGCCAATAACTCTGGAACTTGCTTTCATGCATATGATTTGTCTTTCTCATGCAAGTGGAGTCGAGTGGATCCTTAATTATGACCCCGTAGGAAGTATAGCATGAATCACTTAATGATTCAGTGAATCTCACCTAATAAAGAGGGAATGTGCAAATTAACCATCACACCGTAACGGTCAAGATGGCTGCGCCCACAGTGGAGGCAGGGATTCTGTAACACAAGATGGCTGCACCCACAGTGGAGGCCGAGTTCCTGTAAAGAGCCTTAATAAGAAATCAGCAGGGACCTGAGGCTGCGCTCAGGTAGGGCTGGTAGGGCTTGACAGGGGACCTCAGGCTGAGCCCCCCACCCAGCATGGCTTGATGGGGGACCTCAGGGTGCACCCCTCCACCTGGCAGGGCTTGACGGGGGACCTCAGGCCATGCCCCCTGCCCAGCATGGCTTGATGGAGGACCTCAAGGCACGCCCCCCACCCCGGCCTGGGCCGGGGGACCTCAGGCCACGCCCCCGCCCCAGCGCTGGGCCGGGGGACCTGAGGCTGTGCCCCCCACCCTGTGGGGCTTGACAGGGGCCCTGAGGCTGCACCTCCCATCTGGCGCCAGGCCAGGGGACCTGAGGCTGCGCCCCCCGCCTGGCGGGGCTTGACAAGGGTGGGGCTGGCCAGGTCTGCATCTCGCTCCATAGGGGGGAGGCTGGCTGGGTCTGGATCTCGCGTGATTTTGAGGTACCGTGGGTGTGCGGGCACTTGACCTGCAGCGCGCCCCAGACTCTGACAGGAGGAAGATTTTCATACACATTTTACTAATTTTCTTTCATCTCTGACACTTCTGTTATGGAGAAAGGGAAAATAGCAATATTAAAATATTTCCTTTTATTAATCCCCTTTTAATGTGCACGAATTTCTTGCACTGGGCCACTAGTCACAGAATAATGCTGAATAGAGAAAACAATCCTCTTTGCTTATTGGTACCTGCATCTTTTGACAAGTCTATGTTGTGTGAATAGTGGACTTCCATCAGTCAGAGGTATTTATTCTTCTGTAGTTTTCTAATAGGTGTGAATGAGAACATGCATCATAATTGAGAATTTGTGCCGTGGTACTTTGGGAGAATTGGCTAACTTCAAAAACCTGCAGTTTTTTTAAATAAAAAATGGCATTTCTATGATCATGATGCTAGACAATATTCTTTTATCTGCTCACAGAATTCCCAGTGCAAAGAAACTAAAATGTTATTTAATGGTACAGTATAATTGATGATGTTTGGTAATGTTTATATAATATACAATGTCTTCATGAAATCTTTTGAGTGATGACATTTCATATTTTAGGGAATCATACACTGGTTGAAGCAGCAAGGTAACAAACACCTATGGAATCGGAGGTGCAAAAAAAAAAAAAAAAATTCCTTTTTTGCTTAGGTGACTATTAGTCCAGCCTTACTATATGAAATAATCTTACATTGAAGGTAGACAATGATCAAAAGAATACAATGTCTTTTGTCTATCCAAGCATGATTTGTTTGTAAAACAACAAAAGTATAGATTTTTACACTGATGTAAAAATTCACTTAAGTCTAAATAAAAGAGGTTAAAGTTTTCTTTTTTCAATAACAACTACAGACATCAGCTTTTGAAAAGATGGTATTGCTAATGTATTGAATTGTGCTTTTTAATGAGGCATATCCATTATTTCAATTAATATAAAAAGTGTAAGCAGTAGAATGGAATTACTAATTTTTATATCTGAAGAGAGAGATATGGTAAAGAACAACAAATACTGCATGATCTTATTCATAATATTAACTCAAATTGTAACCATTTAGTTTAAAACTGATATTAATCATCACACTAAACCTTAGTTGAAAATGAAGTTAATCTCACTTCTTCCTTCTCAAATCCTTTCATTGCTTTACCCTACAGATGTATAGCTAACATTAAAATTAGTCTATGCACTAACACTAAAGTTCTTCATCTCATCAGGGTAAGAAAAGCTGAGCAGTTCATCACACTGGGAATCAGAAGGTCCTCATTACTGATTAACATGCTAAAAATTCCACAGCTGATGCAAAATGCCTAGAAATATGGAATATGGCTCCTTAGGAAACACAACTAAATAAATTTGAAAAGCTGGCTCTTGTGGTTGTTTGTGAAAAATGGAAGAAAAATTTAACTCCTTTTAACAGTCAGTTAGTTCCATAGGAAGGGATATTTTGTGAAGTTTAAACATCATTTCTGAAGCAGATAAATAGAATAAAGAGTAGTTTGAGCAAAAGAAATGAAGTAGAAGAACCTGCCACTACAACATCTAGAAAGGCCAGGTAAACTGAATAACAACAGAATGGTATTTAAAATATATAGTAATTAAGTGAAACAAACACCACCCACCAACCCCATCCACCAGGTCCAGAAATGAAAACCAGAGATGGTTTTGAAGCTTGACCTGGCCTTGCAACAAAAGAAGGGTGAAGATGGTTAGGTTTTTACTCTCTCCTTAACCCAGGGATATGGGGCTAATATCCAAATGGAACTGGATACAAAGCCTGTAACCTAATAATGCAGGGAGTAGAACTGGGGTCTTGTATAAAACGTGACTAGAAGGAGCTATGCACTCCTTAAAAAAAGAGAGCCAGAGAACAAGGAATGAAGGGAGAATGCGAGGGAGGAAGGAAAGAAGGAAAAGAAGGAGAGAGAGAGGGGAAGGAATGGAGGGAGGAAGGGGAAACAGAACTAGAAGTTCATTTGCTCTGCCTAAGCTTAGGGTAGGGGGAAAGTTGCCTAGGGCCATTACCTTATGAGTTTGAGGTCTGCATTTATACTACCCAGACAATCTGGGTCTGAGAAGTTATAAAAAAATACATGTCCAGAGCTGAGCCCATGGCAAAAGCAAATGCAAAACCATCACTAGGACACTTCCACAGCCCCAAGCTTTAAGAAATCCCCAAAGAAAATACTGACTGCACTAGAGATGAATTTGCAATCAAAGTTTACAAAACAGAGAGTTAACAATCCACTATGAATAAGAGTTGGCATATGCAAATATATGAGCTCATTTAATAATCTTAAAGAAAATATAAAGTAATGTTTTAAATTATTGCTTGCTTCAGTGACGGAGGAAACCAATGTTCCCCGCCTGCCTTGCCGGCCTCTGAGCCTGCAGTTTGAAACATTGTAATATGAGAAGAAATTTAAAACTATTAAAAAGAATAAGAAGCTATAAAAAACCCCAGCAGATTTGTAAAAACAAAACCAAACCAATAAAACAAAAACTAATAGAACTTTTAAAGTCATTGAGCCTTTGCTACTGTTGGTATGTCAAATTAGATGTTCCACAGGGGCCCTCCCATTAAAAAAACAATTAGGTTGAGTGCAGTTGTACAGTTATTCTGTGGAAAAGGCAGCTAATCCTTTACATAAGAGAGTACTCTAAGCCATAGCATATGGCATATTTCAGCAGTATAATGAAGTTATCTTAAGATCTATAGCTCATATTCCCTTTAAGAAAAGCAAAGATCAGGAATATCAAAAGCTAGCTAATGTTAATTCTAAAAGAAAAGCATCTCTACACAGGTAGAATGGTCCAACACAACCAATTTTCATGATGTTGATTCATCTACTATATCCTATCTAATAAAAGAGAAACATGGTAATTAGCGTACGACCGCTACCCTTCCCATTGGCTAATCAGGGCAATATGCAAATTAACTGCCAGACAAGATGGTGGCCGGTAGCCAGGCAGCTTGAAACTAACATGAGGCTTGCTTGCTTCAGTGACGGAGGAAACCAACGTTCCCCGCCTGCCTTGCCGGCCTCTGAGCCTGCAGTTTGAAACATTGTAATAAATATAGAAGCTAAACAAAACACCAGAAACCTGCTTTCAGTGAGCCGGAATCTCAGAGCTGGAGTTATACATTGTTTCGATTATAGAACCCAAACAAACCAGATACCTGTTTTCAGCAGCAGAGGCCTCAGAGCTGGAGCCAGAGCTAAAGCTGGCCCAGAATAAAAAGAAAAAAGAAAAAAAGGAGCAGTTGGGAGCTTCAGTCACCTGCGAGCCTGAAAACAGCCCTCAGCCCCTCACCCAGACTGGCCAGGCACCCCAGTGGGGACCCCCACCCTGAAGGGTGTGTGACCAGCTGCAAACAGCCATCATCCCCTCACCCAGACTGGCCAGGCACCCCAGTGGGGACCCCCACCCTGGTCCAGGACACCCTTCAGGGCAAACCAGCCAGCCCCACCCATGCACCAGGCCTCTATCCTATATAGTAAAAGGGTAATATGCCTCCCAGCACCAGGATCAGCAAAGCCGAGAGGCCTCCCGGCATCGGGATCAGCGTGACAGGGGGCAGCGCCCAAACCCCCTGATCGCCCTGCGGCTCTGTGTGTGACAGGGGGCGGGGCCACAACCTCCCTATCCACCCTGCTCTGTTCGTGACAGGGTAAGGTGCCCCAACCTCCTGATCAGCCCTGCTCTGTGCCTGATATGATTGCCCTGCGGCTCTGTGTGACAGGGTGAGGCGCCCCACCCCATGATTGGTCCTGCTCTGTGTGTGACAGGGTGCGGCGCCCCAATCCCCCCCCCCCCCCCGATGGCCCCTGCTCTGTGTGTGACAAGGTAGAGCCATAACCTCCCCATCGGCCCTGCCCTGAGTGTGAGAGTGGCGGCGTCCCAGCCCCGTGATCGGCCCTGCTCTGTGGGTGATAGAGGGCAGCGCCCCAAACCCTGATCTGCCCTGCTCTGTGTGTGACAGGGGGTGGTGCCCCAACTCCCCTATTGGCCCTACTCTGTGAGTGACAGGGGGGAGTTCCCCAACCCCCTGATGGGCCCTGCTCTGTGTGTGACAGGGGGGAGCTCCCCAACCCCCTGATCGACCCTGCTCTGTGCGTGACGGGGGAGCTCCCCAACCCCCTGATGGGCCCTGCTCTGTGCGTGACGGGGGGAGCTCCCCAACACCCTGATAGGCCCTGCTCTGTGTGTGACAGGGGGGAGCTCCCCAACCCCCTGATCCACCCTGCTCTGTGCGTGACAGGGGGCAGCGCCCCAAACCCCTGATTGGCCCTGCTCTGTTTGTGATGGGGTGGCGCCGCAACCTCCCCATCGACCCTGCCTTGAGTGTGACAGGCGGCGGTGCCCTAACCGCCCAATCGGCCCTACCCTGAGCGTGACTGAGGGTGGCATTGCAACCTCCCAATCCGCCCTGCTCTGTGAATGACAGGGCGCGGTGCCCCAACTCCCCAATTGGCCCTGCTCTGAGCCGGACCAGGGGCTGCACCTAGGGATTGGGCCTGCCCTCTGCCACCCGGGAGCAGGCCTAAGCCAGCAGGGCGTTATCTCCCGAGGGGTCCCAGACTGCGAGAGGGCACAGGCCGGGCTGAGGGACCCCCCCTTCCCCCCCGAGTGCACAAATTTTTGTGCACCCGGCCTCTAGTATAAGATATAAAATGAGTCTTTAGAAAGAACTGCCATTCTAGATACTTGCATATTTTAAGTTACCTATTGCTATGCAGCAATGTCATAAGGTATCTCTAAATTAAACCATGAGAATGGTATTTTAGGTGAGTGGTCATCAGCTTTTATTTCTGGCACAAGCTAATGAAATAGCAAATGCAGTTGTCTGAAACATGTATTTCATATATCCCAGAGCACTCTGTCCCCTGAAAGATAAGAAACTGGCTTATTCTGGAAACACTTCTATTATGGAATCAGTGAACTAGATTCAGGAAATACACAAAAGTTGTCTATTTTTACATGTGCAAATGCAACAAAATCCTATAAAACAAAGCCTCTGGTGACTAAAAAATTTCTAGAGTTTTCAAAGATGGCACAGAGCAGATGGGACAGAACCGACAGCATGAGATTTCATCATGCTTCACAGAACATCATGCACTTTAATACTTATGAATTGTTCATTTCTGGAATTTTTATTTAATATTTTTGGAGTGTGGTTGACCTTGAGTAAGTGAAACCTCTGATAAGGGGGGACTACTGTACCACTCATGCTTCTGAAAGACGTTAATAAAATTTCATATTTTACTTATAATTTGAAATTTAAAAACTTTTTATCATAGAACAAAATTAAAAATGCACATAGCAGAGAGTAGAGTATTTTATTTTTGGGGGGTTCCCTGACTGGGAATCGAACCCGGACGCTTTAGCCTGCGGGCCAGTTCTCTATCCATTGAGCCAAACTGGCTAGGGTGAGAAGAGTATTTTAAATACCCATGTATCTCTTACTGTGCTTCAACAGTTATTAGTATGTTATGATTTTAAAAAAAATAAAAAATTGTACACATTTAAAGTATCATTTGATAACCATATACATAGTGAAGTTTACTGGATTATCATGGTTTCTTTTATCCTATCCCCTAAATTATCTTTCTTAGATTTTCATAAATATTTATTCTCTGATTTTTTATATTTGTATTTTCTCTTATAACTCATCATTGAGGTGAGAAAAATCTGTTGAATTCAGAATTTTTGACTATCCTAAGACAAATTGATAAATTATTTTTGGTTTTTCCTTTCAGGTTACAGGAATTGACTGTTTGTTCAGAAGACAATGTTGATGTTCATGATATAGAATTGTTACAGTATATCAATGTGGATTGTGCGAAATTAAAACGACTCCTGAAGGGTAAGTTTAAATGTATGATATAGCTGCGATTAATCACTGTGGGTGAAAAACCAGGATTTTGAATGTACTAGTTGTGTTGAGCTAGAACATCAAAGTGGATTTTATAATGCAAATGTCCCTGAGAAATGGATAATGATATTATGGTTCAGTAATTTTTGAAACTTTGAAAACCATACAATAGAGAAAATTAGTATCTTAAATCTTGGCAATGGAAAGATTTGTTTAACTACAATTTTTGCTTTTAATAAAGAGTATATAAGGGTGCTGTTATTTAATACTTTTAGAATTTTATCTCTTAAGGATAGCTATAGGTTTCAGAAGTTCCTGTTTAGCTTTTGTAGAGCTAAAAGCAGATAGCTTAGCAGGATAACAAAGTTTTATTTCAGAAGCTGAAGAACCAGAAGTATGTGATCTTATGATGAGAAGAGGAATTGAGTCGGGAATCTTATTTCTAACATTTCTGTTTTCAGCTCCGTTATTTACTTAACTGACTTTGCAGTATTACAAAGTCTCTTATGCTTTCAGTGCTTAGTTTTACTTCCTTTTAGAACATGTCAATAGTAGTCCCATGTGGGGATGTTATAATTCTTGATTGTCATTTTAAATCTTTGGAAAGTGCTTTTATGATGATGTTGATTGAAATAAACTATCAGAAAGAATTGAATTTTTTTGGTAAGTTGGGAAGTGTTGATATAAATCAGTGGGCATTATTAATGGGCATATATACATTGAGTATAAATACTTAAATTCATTTCACACAAAAATATTTAGTTTTATTTAACTTAAATGTGAAATCTTATGATTCACACTACTTTTTATTTTATTTTGTATATTGATTAAGGAATTGTCAATATTTTTTACAGTCTGACCTAAAAGGAGACTTAGTTACATTAACTTTGAAAACCTCAATAGTTCTGCAGTGTAATTTTCAAAATATGTTGTGTAGTTTTCTTACCATTTGCTTAAACTCAATAACTGGTTCATCAGAGATGTGAAAAGGCTATACCTACTTGGATGAATATTATAAGGCTGTGTTCCATCTCTATTACCCTTATTCAGAATTTATGATTTTAGATAATTAACATTATAAAACCAAGCAACAATTAAATCACTTTTCAGTGACATTAATAAAGGGGAAAATGAATTCATTTATTTATTTATGTTAAAATATATTTTTATTGATTTCGGAGAGGAAGGGAGAGGGAGAGAGAGAGAGAGAAACATCAGTGATGAGAGAGAATCATCAATCAGCTGCCTCCTGCATGCCCCACACTGGGGATGAGCTCGCAAGCCAGGAATGTGTCCCGACCAGGAATCAAACTGTGACCTGTTCAATTAAAAGAATTTCTTCCAGGTCTCTATTCTGAGGAAGAAATACCGAGACATTGAGTGACTTTGAGGAATCCAGCCAAGTGGGGGAGGGGAAGCGAGAAGGGACTGGGGTCAAGCTGCTCTCTCTTCCCAGTGCAGATCCGCTCAGCCTCGGGGCCAGATTGTGCCAAGTAGCCAAATAAACTTACTTGAACAGAATGACACAAAAACAAACAAAAAAGGCCAATGAGAACTCGACTCCTGGCTCCTGGGACTGCACAGGACTGCTCCAAACTCACCTCACTGGCTGCCATGTCCCAAGGCTAGGTTGTGTACAGTTTAATTATGGAATATTAAATAATTATTTTTGAAATGATTGCTATGCAGGTTTAAACTTTTTTAAAGATCAAAACTATTAAGAGTTCTTTCTTTTAAAAAAACCCCACTAAATGTCTCTGGGCTTCGGGGGCTGTGGCCCCCATGGAACACTTGGGCACCTTGAAGGAGCAGCACCGGGAGCAGAAGCTATTTCCACAGTTACTGCAGCTCAACCACTGAGCCACGCCAGTCAGGCAGAAAAGAATTATTTTAGCTATTACATCAAGATATGGATAATTGCTTAGCAATTATTTTAGATTACAGTGAACCACCACTCAATTCATAGTTGAAATTTCAAGATTTTAGTATCATTAAACATTGAGAAGTGAAGGAAGTGAATGATAAAATTTAGAGACTTCTATGTTTAAAATTGAAGAAATATAAACAGGGTTTTACGATTTTTCTTAACTGTTCAGAGACATTTTGGAAATAAATCTAGTCCAGGTTGTTAATGAATAGGTATTTGTTTAAAATCTCAGTTTTCTTAGAAATGTGTAATCCGTAACAATTAATTGAGATGGTTCTCTATGCTCAAGTAAAAAGAAACTAAATGTGTGAATAAACGACTGTTTTTATTGTGGTAAGTTATTCCCATCGAATCCTGCTCCCCCCTGAACATAAATTTAGATTCTATGCTGATAAATATGTCATCAATAAAGGCAATATTAAAATGGCCGTCAAAGGATAGCGCTAGGTTACAATGGTAAAAGGAATAGAAACTTTCCATAATATGAATAGTAAAAGAATTAATGTATTTTAAATTCAGTTCAACAGTATATGTTGAGAAACTGTGGAAGAAACCATGCTAATTGTTGGGCTTACAATGATTAATAAAATAGTTCATCTGTCTCTACAGAGCTTATATGGCCTGGTTAATGAGACAAAGACATAATTATCAAATTATTTGCAAAGCAATGTGGCAAACTCAAATAGGATGAACATAAAGTAAGAGAAGAAATATACATTTGTTTGTGGGTAAGAAATGTTAAGAGGAAAAGAGCAAGATATGGAGGTATAAGAGTAGGTCAGATTACATTAATAAAAATGTAGTAATTGTTCATTTTCAGTATGTGCCACACATCATGCTATGTAGAGTACATGCTTTTTATCATCAGTCCGTACAGTAATCCTGGGAAGCTGGTGGTAGTATTATCATCCTTTATGTAGCTGAGGAAATTGCATGTTAGGAGGTAACATTTCAGAGGTCATAGAGCTAGTGAATGGCAGGGTAAAAATACAAACCACATCTGCCCATCTCTAGGACCAGAGCACTTAACTCCTACACTACTGTGCTTGTGGCTTATGAGGCTTTAAGTTAGTGGCCATGGGAAGTGATGAAAAGGCTTTAAGGTGGGATTAGTATTTTATTTTACATATTTCATTTTGCTTGAAATTTGCCGGATGGTTTGATGGAAGGTTACATGAAATTCTGGGACTAGTTTGTGTAGTAATGTGAGTGAAAAATAATGAGGGTAGTGGAGGTCTGGATAGAATGGGGTAGTATGGGGACCAATTTGGTATCGTATTTAAGAAATAGAATATATAGCATTTGAATAGAATACATCACATAGCATTTGGTGATTAATTTAGATTATGAAGTTAAGTATTACAGAGCAAACTGGTTAAAGCAGGGAAGGAAAGGAAGGGTGGGTAGCAGAGAAGGTGGTCAGGAAAATGATAAATTCAGCTTTAGATTATTGAGTTTGAGGTATTAGTAGGATGTTCAGTCAGAAACTTGTAGAAATGGACTAATAAAAGATCTATACATTGGAATTGAGAATAGACTACTGTGTATAATGCATTTAAGACATCAAAAGATAAAAGTTGATGAAGATAGGAAGGCAAAAAGGCTCAAGAGCACTGTGAAATGTCATGCCATCATTTGAAATCAAAGGAGAGCAAGAGCAAAGAACATTGGAGGGATATGTTTTAAAATTGACCTGGAGAGCAAGTTATTTGCAAGGCCAGAAAAAAAAAAAAGCCCTGACATTTACTTACCTTAAAGAAATAATCAGTAATGTAGGAAAAATCCTATCTAATAAAGCCCGGAATATGCTAATTGTCCCTCCCACCATCGCAAAGATGGCGGCACCCACAGCCAATAAGTAGGGAATATGCTAATTGACTGCCCCTCCCTCAAAGGTGGCGGCGCCCACAGCCACAAGATGGCGGTGCCCAGTCCCCTCAACCCTGTGTGCCTGCCTCTGGAGTCCCCCAGTCCCCTCAGCCACTCAGGCCTGGCCTGAGGCGCAGGCAAGCCTGGGATGGCAGCTGCCCAGCCGCCCAGGGCCGCCTGAGGCTCAGGTAACCAGGGCCAGCTGAGGCTTGTGCTGCCGGCAGTGGCAGCAGCAGAGGTGTGATGGGGGCGTTGCCTTCCCCTGATCTATGGGTAGCCTCCCACCCCTGAGGGCTCTCAGACTGAGAGGGGGCAAGCTGGGCCGAGGGACCCCCTCCCTCCAGTATATGAATTTTCATGCACTGGGCCTCTAGTTTGGATATAAAAATGTTAGTTTATCATATCTAATAAAGAGGGAATATTCTAATTGACCCTCACGCTGTCGCAAAGATGGTGGTGCCCACAGCCAATAAGGAGGAAATATGCTAATTGACTGCCACACCCTCAAAGATGGCAGCGCCCAATCCCCTCAGTCCCACTGGGGCGCCTACCTTTGGAGTCCCCCAGTCCCCTTAGCTGCCCAGGGCTGGCCCAAGGCTCAGGTAACCAGGGCCGGCCAAGGCTTGCACTGCCGGCAGTGGCAGCAGCAGAGGTGTGATGGGGGTGTCGCCTTCTCCTGATTGCCGGGTGACCTCCCACCCCTGAGGGCTCTCAGACTGTGAGAGGGGGCAGGCCGGGCTGAGGGACCCCCCCTCCAGTGCATGAACTTTTAGTTTATAATAGTGAGATATTGGGCATATCTTAATATATAACAATTGGAAAATGTTTAAATGACCAATGACTTAATATATTGACTTAAATATTATGAAAGATATCAAAGCATATTGAAAAGACTATGGCTTTGAAGTCCAGTGTAATCATTTATTAGATCTGTAACCTCAGAGACAGTTTCCTCATCTGTAATGTCTGAAAGCATTAAGATTTTGAAAGAATTAAAAGGTATTGCTAAATTACTTAAATTTTATTTCTTTTTAAGAAAGATATTCTTTATTTACAGTATCTAGTATTTTTAAATTTATATTATATTGAAAGTACCTGGCATGTTGTAATTGTCAAGTAATAGTTACTATTGTATATAGAGCCGTCAAATACATGTATGAAGAATTTTTAATGACATGGAAAAATTTAGAATACTATGTGAAATGAAAAGAGTAGATTATATCTAGCCTACATGATCTCAGTTATGGTAAATATATTTATTTGTCTTATATGTGCATAGAAAAATGGATGGAAGAAAATTCATCAAACTGTTAACTGTGATTATCTCCAAATGGTAGCATCATGGATGATGTTTAAAATTTCCCTTAGAATTTTGTGTATTTTAAAAATTTTCTACAATGACCATGTGTATCATATTTTTTTTAAAAGTACGTTTAAAAACAAAACAAAGGGGAAAAAACACAACTATCTTTGAAGTTCAAGGCATATTTACTTTTTTATTAATAAAAGCTTTAGGAATATCTGCATATATACATTTACACTCAAGTTGATAACATCAGCAGTTTAACATCAATACAAATTATGTTAGAGAACTTTTAAATTTCAGACATGGTCATTTATACATCCTGTTCAGTATTCTTGCTTTTTTCCCCCCCCTTAGATACAGACCTTGATAGTGAATCTATTGATGATAGATGTATAGCTAGTTTGTCCTGGAATTTGTGAAGATAATTATATTGCTTTATGGTCTGTATTGCTCCAGATCCTCATAGGTCTCTCAGGCTCTCTATGGCTTGCTGTGGTAATACTGTCAGACAGGTATAGTAGGAGACAAGAAGATGGCTACAAGACAGGATCTCCCAACTCCTCCCTAACAGTGTATTAAGGTGTTTTTTGTTTTTGTTTGTTATTTTTAAGGCAGATTTTAAGGTCCTCCATTATTTCACAGCAGCTGGCCATGTCAGGAGTCCTTCCAACTGGGATTGGATGATGCTGAGTGATTATTCCATACTACTGGTAGAGGTCCAAGAGGTTTGGGACTCTATATTTTGATAGTTCCCTTCTGATGCAGAAAACAATATGTCATGCATACCATAGCTCTTTAGTTCTTCAGTATCTTTTTGGATATTTCTTCTAGTATTTTTAAATTTATAACTTGGAAGAGCACATAAACCAAGAAACTGAGAACAATTCACTTGTGACAGGGGTGGCCATGATATCTGAATTGGAGTCTGTTCATCTTCAATAGGCTCTTCCTCTGTTGAGTCAAACTCACTTGTTTGCAATGAGCTAGGTTCTTCACCCTGGCTGCCCCACCTCTGGCCATGTATACTTTGTGTTGAGTTTTGTTTTTAGTGGACATAGCCAGTGCATTTTTGGTTTTTATTAATTGTCTTTGTTTTTACATTGCTTAGAAATAATAGTGGAACAAAGTTTTGTTTTTTACTAGTAACTCTGAACTGTATTTGTTTTCTAGAGTTAATTTTTAAAACTTTTTTCCCCCCAGAAACAGCATTTAAATTTAAAGCCCTAAAGAAGGTTGCACAGTTAGCTGTTATAAATAGCCTGGAAAAAGTAAGTCATAACTTCTTTGGCATTACAGTTTTGTTAACTTAGCTATAAATGTTGCTCTCTTTACAATTTTGAATTAAAAAGTCATGGCTGGAGTAATCATTTTACATTAATTTTTAGGGAAGTGCATTGCAATAGTCTTATGAAAGATATTAGTAGTTTGTGATATAATTGAAGCTGTGTGACATTTTATTTACTATGTTAAGAAAATATCCTTGCTTTCATGTAAAAACATGTTTTATTATTTGTAGGCATTTTGGAACTGGGTAGAAAATTATCCAGATGAATTTACAAAGCTATACCAGATTCCACAGACAGATATGGCTGGTAAGGATAAGATTGGTTTTTTGTCTTTTAAACTCTTACTTATGAAGTAGGAACCTATCAATTTCCAAGTTATTTTTTGTTATTAAGGTGCTTTTACATCTTGTCAATAGGTGTCAAATAGGAAATATTTTTCTTATATTTCTAAATTATCCTCAACCCTTTCTTTTCCTTGAGCAAATGGATAAATACATTTGAAATGAAGCTCTGATCTTTCATTAGAGTTGTGGAAGGGATATTTGATGGCTCTTCATTGTAGAGAAGCACTTTATTGTGCTCTGAGGCTTTATTTTGTATTTAGGGAGATGTGTATAAAGTATTAGTATCCTTACCTAGAATTCTGCAGGCCCAACTGCAAGGCAGAGAATACAGATTCCTGAAGCTGTCCAGACCTTCTTCCTTGGGTATATCAGACTTCACATGAGGCCCTGCACATTGATATTAAACACAAGTTTGGCCATTCTAAAATGTGGATTTTTCTAGGATGGATCAAGATAGCTCTTCTAATACTACATGGACATTAGAACATTGCTTGTCTGCTTACCTGAATGAATTGTCTAATTGTTTAAGTGAACTTCCAAGTTTATATTCTAAATATGTGGCCTTTGGATTTTTGGATAATGTCAGAGACTTTCTTCTCATCTAATAAAATCATTTACTATTTACATTTTTTTTACATAGAGTGTGCAGAAAAGCTTTTTGACTTGGTGGATGGTTTTGCTGAAAGCACCAAACGTAAAGCAGCAGTTTGGCCACTACAAATCATTCTTCTTATCTTGTGTCCAGAAATAATCCAGGATATATCCAGGGATGTGGTTGATGAAAACAACATGAATAAGGTGAGGAGGGCAAAATTATTTCCATATGTCCAGATGTGAAGCAGTTTATTTTACTCAAGGGGTGTATTATTTCAGGCTTAGCATTCTGTAAAGATGATAGTTCAGGGGACCATTTTTTTCTTTTTTTAAAAAAAAATATGTTTTTATTTATTTTTAGGGAGGGAGGGAGAGAGAAACATTGATGTGAGAAACATCGATCAACTGTCTCCTGCACGCCACCACCAGGGATTAAGCCTGCAGCCTGGGCATGTGCCCTGACTGGTGCATAAGTCAGTGCTCAGCCAGCTGGGCTGCTATTGAGATTTCTAGTTTCATTTCATTGTGATCAGAAAAGATATTTTATATGACTTCAGTCTTTTAAAATTTATTAAGGCTTGTTTTGTTGCCTAACATGTGGTCTATCCTGGACATTGTTCATGTGTACTTGAGAAGGATGTATATTCTGTTGTTTAGTTACTAGCTTTTGACATGTTATATTTGAGAATACTTGTAAATTTTATTTAGGAGAAAATCCAAAGGGAGAATTTTGTTAGTGCAAAGAGAGCTCGAGATCACAAGAAGGGATAACTTGTTGCGAGGAACAGAATTTAGAGCAATAAGTCAGCCTTAGGATATATCCTTAGTTAGAAGACTGAAGGTTAAATATAGCCTGGAGTTTTAGGTAAAAATGAACAGTTTGACATAGACCATAACCAAAACAAATTAATATTTAGGAATTAAGAATAATGTAAAAAAGAATATCAGCTGAATTAAGGTTGAACAGTGAATTCCCTTGTTTGGGAAGGACTGTTTCTTATGTTTCTTTAATAATTCAACAAAGAATGTGAAGAACAGATTCTATTCTTTGGCTTCGAGAAATATTTAAAAGACAACTCCTTTCATTGAGAAATTAAAACCCATGGATATCAATTGTGTATTTTTAGAGTACAGTTTTTAGAGGCTGATATTTTGCTACTTTATTAGATAAATCTGAATAATGAGAAACTTCATATATTATCTTTTTGCTGTATTTGAATTCTGTAGAAGTTGTTTCTGGATAGTCTACGTAAAGCACTTGCTGGCCATGGAGGAAGCAGGCAGCTGACTGAAAGTGCTGCAATTGCCTGTGTCAAATTGTGTAAAGCAAGTACCTACATCAATTGGGAAGATAACTCCGTCATTTTCCTACTAGTTCAGTCTATGGTGGTCGATCTTAAGGTAACGTCCTTATTATTTCTTTACTGTAAACTTAAAAAAAAATTAAATGGGAAGTAAACTTCAAGTATAAGTATTAACCCCTAGAGTGCTGGGGAGTGCAATCGCGCTCCTCCTGTCTTTCGCCAAAAGTGCTCCTCCTGCAGTGTCACTATTAGATGCTAATAGTTCACTCTTTATTGACAGATGGCACCTAAGGAAAATCAGCAAAAATGCCTTGGCAATTTTAGCATAGTTCCTAGGATATTGGTTGGCACTCAAAGGGTTAAACTAAATTGTCAAAGATCACTGCTAACACTAAAGTTCTGAGTCTTCTTTGATAATGAGTTCATAGGATCTGCTTTTGTTGTTACTTGTTCCTCAGGCTAAATACAGTGGTGTAGAATATGAAGAAAACACATAATTAATGAGTTTTCTTAAATTAGCATAAATATTCTGACTTGGTTTTAAAATAATATATTAGGACCTGAAAGGGATTATATATGGTATAGTAAGAATTTTATCAGACTGATGAACCATAATATTAGTGCTTTGTGCTTCTTCTGGCAACTGAATGCTACTGCCATCAATGTGGATGATGTATTGATATTATTAAATGCTAGAAAGAGAAAGACTGCATGATTGTTTAAAGGCTTTTGTTTTCTATTGGGATTTTCATAGAACCTGCTCTTTAATCCAAGCAAACCATTCTCAAGAGGCAGCCAGCCTGCGGATGTGGATCTAATGATTGACTGCCTTGTTTCTTGCTTTCGTATAAGCCCTCACAACAACCAACACTTTAAGGTGAGAGCATTGGTTTTTATCCAGTTTTATTCACCGATGCTATTGATCCTTTATAAATGTGAAAAGACTAGAAAGATGAATAGGTTACACCAATACTGGTATTGCTCACTATTATCCTATCTAATAAAGAGGGAATATGCTAATTGACCCTCATTCGGTCACAAGTATGGCAGCACCCACAGCCAATAAGGAGGGAATATGGTAATTGACTGCCCCACCCTCAAAGATGGCGGCGCCCACAGCCACAGATGGCTGGCAGGGGAGGGCAGTTGTGGGCGATCAGGCCAGCAGGGGAGGGTAGTTAGGGGTGACCAGACCAGCAGGAGAGGGCAGTTGGGGTCGACCAGGTCTGCAGAGGAGGGAAGTTGGGGGGGGCCAGGTCTGCAGGGGAGGGCAATTAGGGACGACCAGGTCAGCAGGGGAGGGTAGTTAGGTGTGACTGGGCTGGTAGGAGAGGGCAGTTGGGGCCAACGGGCCGGCAGGGGAGGGCAATTGGGGGCGATCGGGCAAGCAGGGGAGCAGTTAGGCTTTGATCAGGCTGGCATGGGAGTGGTTAGGGGGTGATCAGGCTGGCAGGCAGAAGCAATTATGGTCAATCAGGCAGGCAGGCACGCGAGCGGTTGGGAGCCAGCAGTCCCAGATTGTGAGTCCCTATGGGATCGGGCCTAAACCGGCAGTCGAACATCCCCCAAAGGGTCCCAGATTGGAGAGGTGCAGGATGGGCTGAGGGGCCACACCCCCCCCCCCCCCCCCAGTGCACAAATTTCATGCACTGGGCCTCTAGTATATCAATATTAGTTTAAAGACCTTAAACATTTATTCTATTTTTAAAAATTTTTTGTTAGTTTTGTTTTTTCTTTTGTTCTCATTTGTGTTACTGAATATTTTTTACAGAAATAATCTGCTATTTTTTTCTGCCATCTGTAGATCTGCCTGGCTCAGAATTCCCCTTCTACATTTCACTATGTGCTGGTAAATTCCCTCCATCGAATCATCACCAATGTAAGTCCAAAAGGTATTGCTAAATTACTTAAATTTTTATTTCTTTTTAAGAAAGATATTCTTTATTTACAGAAGGTTCTGAATTTAGATATATGATATAGGAAGATTTATCATAGGTGGTTATTAATAATATCTAGTAAACTTATATACAATTATATTTTTCATAATCAGTCTGACCTGAGGGCCCTTATTGAGGAAGGTGGAGTTAATAGGATCCTTTGGAAAGATTAAACCTAAAATATTTAATTTGGATCCAATATCCTTGAGAAAGTGCCACTGAAAATATAACTTAAGATTTTCTTTCTAAAACTTGTTGCATACTCTTAATATTCTTAGCTTTTCCTCAGCTTTTGATATGTTCTGACTTGTCACCTTACCATTTAAATTAAAAGTAGTAGTTATTTATGCTGTAGCCCAATATGACATGTTTTAAAAATGGTGACATCATATTTAATTGTACTTTTTAGTCTTCCTTAAACAAATGAAATATTAACGTACTTAAATAGAGGTATTCACATGTTACAAAGCCATATTAGACAAAATAAGCAAATTCATTAAAAGATACTTGTAAAACCTTCAACTCTGATATGAGTACATTCAATAGAAAGATAATGAAACCTTATCAAATTTGAACCATTGATTTAAAACATTCTGTTCTTCTAATTATGAACAATCACCTTTTGAGAGTTCTCAAGTGTTATTTATCATAGCTCCACTTTTATCTATTTATATGTGTTCACACTTATATAAATTGGTTAACTTTTTCCCATTTTCTGCCCTAAAAGGGACTTTAATAATTGATGATTTAGCTATATTTGTCCTCTTTATCATCAGATTCCATTTTAAGAGTGTGTCTCTGGTGAGTTAAAATACCTTCCCATCTTTATTTGCCTTAGATGTGTTGAATTACAGAAAAGTCTGCCCACATTTTCTTTTATCCATTTTTGAAGGGAAAAAATAACTACTAATAAAGCTATTTAGTGACACATTTAATTTTTCTCAATGGGGTGCTAGCAGTGTTTTGGGCAGAATAATTTTTTGTTGTGTAGGACTGCTTGTGTTTGGAGGATGTTTAGCATCCTGCCATATTTGTGACACTTCCCTTTCCCCACACCCAGACATTATGAATAACTAAAATTGCCTGAGACAATAACACCTCCCTCAGTTGACCCTCAGTTGCCTATCAGTGAATTAAATTACACTGATAGGTAGAAGTAACATTAAATACAATTTGTTCCAAAGGAAAAGTTTCATGAATCTGATTGTAGATAAGGTATGTTTGTATTAAAAACTTAACATTTTTTTCTTTTACCAGTGTAATGAGACAGTACATTATATCCTCAAGGTTTACTTTCAAGGCCATTAAAAAAAAAAAAAAAAGATGATCTCCCCCCTCAAGTTTATGTGTAATTCAGAAATAAAATATTATTACATTTACCCCCTTTGGCTCATAATATTAAAAACATTCCATTTATTAGAGTGTATGGTTTTACATAAATGCTTAAAACTTGTATTTAGTAAACACAAGTAAACTTTTTTGATACTTTGTGGCTAGTTACTTTAATTGTAAAATATTTTTGTCTACAATTGACTATATAGAGCACTTTCAAGCATGGACTTGGCACTGCTGTAAGTGGCTGAGCTGCTCTTTGTGGGTTTAAAGCATGCCTGGAGTGGTACTTCATGCATGCCTCAGTGTATACGGTGAAGTGGTCGTGCATCCTCCTCTACTCTGACGAGTACTGCATGTGTGAAGGTGGAGTGTGTCTGTATCAGACGTCACATCAATGTGAAATCTATTTTTATAAAGAAAAGTCTATATTGACTAAGTTTTAAAATACTAAGCATCAGTAAGCTTTAGATGAATAGCTTGAAAAGAAATATAAATTTGAGTGTGTAAAGTATCTTTTAAAGTTATACCTTTGATAATGATACTTTATAATTATAGACTATTTGATAAATTGTTTGTTGTTGGGCTTTTTCCTCCCTTTGGTTTGAGGCTAATAGATACTGAATGTGAAGTACTTTCTGACCGAAAAGGACTGTTTATAAAGTAAATAGGTAAATTTATGGAATTGATTATTATATAATCTTATCAAAGGCAGTTAATTATGAAAATATTTTATCTTGAAATTACATGAAAATTTTCTTAGACATTTGGACTCCTAATCTTAAATTTATTCATAGTGTAAGATTTCCTTTTAAATGATTCTTGGTTCAATACACCTCATAAGTTTTCTTCTTCCATGGTGCTTTAGCCAATTCATAGACTAAAAAAGTAAATAAATAAATTACCACTTTCTCAAATAAGATAAAAGTTTTGCTGATGTGTTTTTGAGAGTTTATTCAGAAGTTGTGTTGGTATTTACAGTTTTGTTTTTGCTTTTGTGAAACATATTCATGCTCAGTTCATAAGTACTGTGTTTAGATCTAAAATATCCACTGTTTCTTCTTAAGAAATCTGAAAGTCTATTCACTATTTGAATTTTATTATAATGTAAGCTTTCATCAGTAGCACTCATAGTACTGTCACCTTTTTTATTATGGCATGTCATAAGAGATGAATTGTAGTTACAAGATCTATGTTAAGATCTTACTCTTGCCCTGGCTGGTTTGGTTCAGTGGATAGAGCGTCAGCGTGTCGACCAAAGGGTCCTGGGTTTGATTCCGGTCGGGGTCACGTGCCTGGGTTTCGGGCTCGGTCCCTAGTCGGGGGCATGCAGAAGGCAGCCGATCAATGATTCTCTCTCATCATTGATGTTTCTATCTCTCTCTCACTCCCTTCCTCTCTGAAATCAATAAAAATATTTTAAAAAAGATCTTACTCTTTATAGGCTTCCATTAGGCTAATTTATATATGTTGTTATAATTGGGAGATTAAAGGCATAATATACATATATATGAACCAAATGTCTTAGTCATCAGTGGAAAATGCTATAGCTGGTGTAGTACTTAGTATTCTGGGTTTTTTTTCCATTTGGCAACTTAGTATAGTTTTCTATGGTTAGTTCACATATTGAGAATGAGATGGTTTCTTTCTTTTGAGAGGTTGAAGAAATTATTTCCAAGGTACTTGAAAATTTATTTAAATTCTCTCCTGGAGAATTGCACATAGTTTGATCAGATTGTAAAAGTAATGCTATTTGTTTGGCAATAAACTTAGTGTTTTCAAGGAAAAAAAAAATTGTCTACTTTGATTGACTAGATTCAGAAATGACACATTTAGTAACTGCTCAAAACACAAAAATTTTTACCAACTACATGGTGCCTAGTTTTTAGTGCTTATTTTATTTGAAAGTGTATCTTTAACTTTTACTGTAAGATAAATGAATTTATAGTTATGGAAAGTATCAGTTATTAAAATCACCAAATCTTAAGTTAAAATCAAGTTGTTTTATAGCGTGCACCTGGTAGTATGATACAATTTCAGCAGGTACCTAAATTACACTAATTCAAAAGAATATGTGCACCCCTAGGTTCACTGCAGTGTTATTTACAATAGCCAAGATTTGGAAACAGCCCAAGTGCCCATCAGTAGATGAGTGGATAAAAAAGCTGTGGTGCATTTACACAATGGAATACTACTTGGCCATATAAAATAAGGAAATCTTACCTTTTGCGACAGCCTAGATGGACTTGGAGAATATTATGTTAAATGAAATAAGCCAAAGACAAATGCCATATGAACTCACTTATATGTGGGGAATCTAATCAACAAAGTAATTTAACAAACTAGAACAGAAGCATGGATGTATGGGACAGACTAAACTGACAGCTGTCAGGGGAGGGGATTTGGGAGCTGGGTGAAAGAAGGTGAAAGGATTAAAATATATGTATGTATACATATATACATATATATATCACATAGACACAGACAGTAATATGGTGGGAGCCAGAGGGAAAGGGGCAGAGGTGACGGGGAGGTAGAAGAGGGCAAAGGGGGATAGATGGGATGGAAAGAGACTTGACATTGGGCAGTGGGTGCATGATGCGTATGCAGATGATGTTTTGTTGAATTGTACACTTCGGATGCGTATCTCTTTAATCAGTTTCTGACAAGATATTGTGGGGTCACTAGAGTGAGGAAGACCCTTATCTCAATACATTTTGTGATTATTCAGCCTTTTCAATTTTAAGCTGATGGATATAAGCCGTAGCATTAGTAAATGTGTGGAAATCATGCTGTACTGATTGTTTGGACAAGTCAAATAACCAAATTGAGCAAAATTTAAAGGATTCATTATATAACCAAAATAAAAGTTGATCATTTGTTAGGAATTAGCTTAAATAAACTAAGAGTTGAAGGAAAAGCAGAAACAACCATATTATACCCCCAAAAGTATTTTTCCCCTCACAGCTTTTGAGTCCCTCCCTTCCTCACTGTAGTTCATATTCAAATTACGTATTGTAAATTGGTTGTACAATTTACTATCTAGTAAATAGAGTTCGTAGTTCAAAGTTTTGGATTAAAGTAATAAAACTTGATGCTACTGAAAATATTCTGAGAATTATGGATGAAAAAATTAAATGTTGAGAATTTAGCTTAGTTTGGAATAAGAAGGAACCTGTGAATAGGATGTGAAGCTATTAAATTCCCATTACCAACAAATTTCAGTTGTTCTTTCAGGTGTTTTCTGTAGCAGGAATATTATAAATTGGAAGTGCCCACACACATATACACATATTTTAGAGAATGGGAGGGAAGGAGGGAGGGAGAGAGAAAGAGAAAGAGAGAGAGAGAGAAACATTGCCTTCCATTGGCACCTGGACCAGGGACAGAACCTGTAACCTGGGTATGTGCCCTCACCAGGAATCAAACCTGCAACCTTTTAGTATACAGGACACTGCTCCAACCAGCTGAGCCGCAATGGCAAAGGTGGAAGTTTATATTTTAAGTCATCCCATTCCTTGCATATTCTCCATATGTAGTGAAAATTCATCCAGTCATTTTTGTGTTAACTGATAGACAAACTTTATAGTTTTTTTAAAAAAATGTTTTTTATTGATTTTTAGAGAGAGGGAGAAGGATAGAGAAATAGAAACATCAATGAAACATCCTCATTTGGCTGCCTCTTGCACACCCCCTATTGGGGGATCGTGCCTATGACCCAGGCATGTGCCGGTGACATCTTGGTTCATGGGTCCATGCTCAACCACAGAGCCACACTGACTGGACCAAACTGTATAGTTTTACTGATTTTCATAATTGTCGTTTTTCATAATATAGTATTAATTAATTTTAACATAAAACTTCCAAGATACACTTTCAAATAAAATAGGCATTAAAAATGGGAATCAAAGCTAAACTCATTAAACCAAAATATAAACATATTTACATAAAATAATTGCTTTTTAAAAATATTTAGCTATAATAAATTTGTCTTTGTGGTGATCATTAGTCTTTTCATGTATTGTGTCATCATTGCATATCAGTTTAAGCTTATGGGTTTACTAATAGCTTTATCTCATTTACTAATTCCATGTTGTAATTATCATTGTTGTTTGTAGGCATATAAGTGATTGTTTTCCACATATTCCTTCAACATTGTGTTGAACCACTAATCTCTTTTAAAGCTTTAATAATCATATTCTTACCCAGGAGAATATAGACTTTATATGCATATGTTACTAAAATATGTAAAGCATTAAACTTATAAAAGAAGATTTGGTACAGAATTAGCTCTCTAAAGACTTTCTGTTTTTCAAATTCACTAACTTATCAGTGAGAAGAGACAATCTATATCCTCATGCTCATAAAGCAGACAATCTGTCTCATGTTTATTATTATATTTTTTTAAAGGTGTATGGTTCAAATTAAAGATACTATTTGAAATTTTTTTCCCATTTTATTATTTATTATTATTTTTTATTTAAATTCTTTACTGTTGAAAGTCTATTTGAAGATATTGGAAATTGAGGTGTGTGTTTGCATGGTCTTAGAAAGTTTATCACAAAAGGATAAAACATAAACTACAGTAATAACCAGAGCATATAACTCAGTGCAAACTTGTACTTTCCCTTTCTTATGGTCTCTATTTTTGTCCAGTCTGCATTGGATTGGTGGCCAAAGATTGATGCCGTATATTGTCACTCAGTTGAACTTCGAAATATGTTTGGTGAAACACTTCATAAAGCAGTGCAAGGCTGTGGAGCACACCCAGCAATACGAATGGCACCGGTAAGATTAATCATGAATTTTGAATCCCACCTTCTTCCTAGTGCGTTTTCAATGTCTTTATCCCATTCCTACTGTTTAGATTATTTTAGAAAATCAAATATGTCCCTCCTTTTGTATAAGTATTGTAATATGTTGTATACTGCAGTATTGTTGCAATACTAGTTTATGATGTTGGTTTTCCACTATTTCAGTGAGTTGAACTTACTTTTTTAGAGAATTTTTCTCACAAAATGCGTTAAAAATCTTAATGTCACTTTTTTAGTTTCCTTTTTCTTTAATTTTTCCTTATGAATCAAAATATTTTTATTAGTTTCCCCATCTTTTGGGGGATGACTAGGTGATGCTGACTTCTGGGTTAGAGTGAATGTTCCTGCTAATGCACAGTTTACCATTGGGTGCTGAATATTACACATAGGAAATACGAAAGAAAATTTAAAAATTTAATTAAAAATAATTCAGCAAACATGCTTTGAGCTTTTAAAAAATGATAGGCACTTTGATATTGAAGTTTGTGTTTAAACTTAATAAAAACAAATTAGTACTCTTGATATGGAATTTTAAATCTCCTGGGGGACCCCATTTAAACAGACAATTAGTTACAGGATTGTAGAAGTCATATATTGCTATTTATATATAGCAAGAATATTATACATGTCAACTCTTGACATTGATTGGTGGTGCTTTGTCTTCTGCTTCTTATTTTCTGTTCTTACTGGCTGCTGTCGCTCACATGATCAGATGCCAACCAGTCACTGTTTTGCATGGCAGTGGGCTTCTGTGGCTGTAAGTATGACCCATTGTAACTACCTCAGAAAAGTCCTTGGTTTTTTTGACTTTTCTGTGCTTAGTTACCATCATAGTCACATCATGTCATTTCAGATAGAAAATGTAGCATGCTTTTACCTATTGGTTTTATCTTGGAAATTATCCACTTCACACTTAGAAGATAATTGAAACAGCTTCTTCCCTGGCATGCTTCTCTTTTTCCAAGTTCCCTTAGTCCATAAAATATTTTGGTTTTATGTAGTTGTAGTTCACTCTTATCCAGTTGTCAGTAATTGTTGCAGAGGATTGTTTATCTTAGAGGTTCGAATAGAGAAATTTGCTATGCCATATGTTTTGGGATTATTTAGCATACAAAATTATAACCAAGAGCATGACAGTGATTTTTTAAAATTCTCACCTGAGGAGATGTTTCTATTGATTTTTTAGAGAGAGAGAGAGAGAAATGGAAGGAGGGAGCGAGGGAGGGAGAGAAAGAGAAACATCAATGGAGAAATATTGATTGCTTGCCTCTAGTAAGCTCCCTGACTGGGGATCTAACATGTACCCATATATATGCTCTGACCAGGAATCAAACCCACAATTTTTTGGTATACATGATGATGCTCCAACCACCTGAGCAACCCAGCCAGGGATTGTTTTATTATATAAAATGCAAAGTTATTTTTAGTTAACTTTTTGTAGTGCCAAGCACTTAATTTTTTAATTTCAATCCAAGTATAAGGTAAACATCAATAATTGCTACTTAAATGTTATTTAACTAGATAGACATTATTTAAAAATTTTTTAGAAAATGATTTGCAGTTAATTGTTTAAAAATTGTTTACTGACTTATTTCAGATATCTTCTGGGAAGTTATAACTTTATTTGACTTTTTGTTTACAGTTTTCTGCCTATTTTGGCCTCCAATAATAGAAATTGGTGGAAAGTTAATACTCACTTCTAGTTTAACTTCAATTCCTGTTTATCTCCTTTCTGTAATTTAATTTTTTTTGTATGAGGATTGAAAGAAAGTGAAACTAAATTACTCTTTTGAACAAAGACAGAATTTTATTGGTAGTCTGAAAATGTTTCCTACATTTAGAAGTTATTTTTACTTTTTAACTCTAGTTATCAGCTGATTCTAGGAGCTGCATATTATACTATTGATAATTGTTTCTTAAATCCATACTAGATTATTTTGGTCCAAGGACATCTGTGATAAGAATTTAGTTTTTATATTTTAATTATTCTCTGAAATTATCAGTATTCATTTGATTTTCAAAATTAAGAATTATTTTTAAGCTGCTTATAGTCACATATTTATATATGTACTAGAGGCCCAGTGCACAAAAATTTGTGCACTCGGGGGGGGGGGGGAATCCCTCAGCCCAGCCTGTGTCCTCTCGCAGCCTGGGACCCCTCGGGGGATGTCCACCTGCTGGCTTAGGCCTGCTCTACAGGGGATCGGGCCTAAGCTGGCAGTCAGACATCCCTCTGGCAGCCCGGCAGCCCTCAGGGGATGTCCACTTGCCAGCGGGGAGCAGGCCTAAGCTGCAGCCAGACATCCTTAGCGCTGCTGAGGAGGCGGGAGAGGCTCCCTCCACAACCGCTGTACTGGCAGCCATCAGCCTGGCTTGTCGCTGAGCAGAGCTCCCCCTGTGGGAGTGCACTGACTACCAGGGGGCAGCTCCTGCATTGAGCGTCTGCCCCCTGGTGGTCAGTGTGTGCATAGTGACCAGTCATTCCCAGTCCTTCTGCTGTTAGGGTCAATTTGCATATTACCCTTTTATTATATAGGATAAAATTTTGTATGTAGATATATTTTACATAATGGCTAAAGGACAGTTTTCTGGTTGATATTTTTACCAGGGAAAATAACTAGCAAATTTGATATGAAGCAATTTTAGAATTTGGATGATCCTTAAGGTGTATCTTACCTCTCTTAACACATTGTATGCGGGAAACGTGTTTACACGTTTTACGTATTTATACGATCTACCAGTGTAGTAGAGTGCGGGACACATATTAATACGTTTTTTATAGACTAGCGGTAGAATGCGGGTAACGTATAAATACGTAAACTAAAGTTATCGTAATTTTACTGAACGTTGCCATTTGCGCAAAAAATTAGCAAAAATGGCCCGCGCCACCTGTTAGCGCGCGATAAAAACTACCCGCAAACAATGTGTTAAACATGATAAGAACAGTCAGACAACAGATAGGGGAGTATTGAGCTCCCACCAACTTCCAGGCACAGTGTTAATTCCAGGGAAGCATGATGAATTAAACAGACAAAGCACTTACCTTCCCATGATGCCAATCTTGTAGCTTTTTGCTTGAAAACTTATAATGAAGAGCTCACTACAGGTGTCACAAAGTCTGGAAACACAGACAAATCCTATATAATAAAAGCCTAATATGCTAAGTGTCCAGTTTCTGGTCATCCGTTCAACCATCAAAGTGTAATATGCTAATGATATGATATGCACTGACCACCAGGGGGCAGACGCTCCAACTGATAGGTTAGCTTGCTGCTGGGGTCCCCCTGAGTGAGACAGGCCGGACACATCCTGGAGCCCTCCTGCGGTCCCTCCCAGGCTGGCCAACCTCCTGCGTCCCTCCCCAGTCCTGATTGTGCACTGGTGGGGTCCCTTGGCCTGGCCTGCACCCTCTCACAATCCAGGCTGAGGGACCCCTGTCCCTTGCCCCAAGTGCATGAATTTTGTGCACAGGGCCTCTAGTATATATAATAAATGGTTTAGAGAGAATATATTACATCTGGATTTCTTAACCTTAGCACTATTGATGTTTGGAATGGGTAACTCTTTGTTGTAGGGACTGTCCTATGCGATAAGGATGCTAATAGCACCCCACCCCTTCCTTGCCCCACCAGTCACGAAAACCAAAAGTGTCTCCAGACATTTCCAGATATTCTCTGGGGGATAAATGGCTCCAGTTGAAAACCACTGTATCACATGGTATGTTCAGTGGGTTGTCCTCATTTATATTGCCTCAGATGAATTGTGGCTTTGATAATCCTGAGCCTTTAGCTTGCTGCAGAAATAGCAATCAAGGAGTTTAGTCTGTAAAACGGTAAAATAATATTTGTGTCTAGCCTTTACCGCTGCCCGCTATATTGGCAATAAATACATTTCTTCTTGGAAAGAGCTAACTATGTGAAAATTTTTCTTTAACCAAGGTAGACTTATGTCCCTATGACTCCCAAGCACCACTGATCCACTTTCTCTGTTTTTGAAGCTTTATAGACGGACTCTTGTACTCCTAAAGGTTCCTTTTTTTATATCATTTTACCATTGGAAGGGATTTTATTATTTCAGCTTTCTTTAAAAGTGTGTGGGGTTTTTTTAAAATATGGTTTTATAGCTATGTAAACAGAGACACAAATATTATTAAATGAATGATAAATAGTGACATGATTAGTGACTAGTCAACATTTAGCCCAGTGTCTATCTGGTTCTTCCACTGTTTTTCCTCATAGTGTGTTAGCTTGATGAAAACGAGAGTTGTATTTGGCCCCTAGACAGTATCTGGCACATAGTAGGCATTTAGTGCATATTTGTTAGATGAGTGAATGAATTTCTTACTTGAGCTGTTTTCAAAATGTTTCTCCATCTGTTTTTTTTTCTCTTCTGGAAATAATTCAACCTAATCCCCCCCCCCCCCAATTAAAATTACATGTTAAGATCTGATTTTATTGTTCCAGATGTGGAGTAATAATTGATGAAATCTGTTAACCTGCTGTATCTCATACCATGTTTCTACTAAACAGTTTAAATTTGCATTATTATCCTTAGATAGATCTTTCATTCATTTAAATGGTTTAGCCTTTTTCATATGAATATTGAGCCATAGCTTCTCCATTGTGTACTCTAGTATTTGTTAAGATTTGAAAAATTTGTATTGATTTCAGAGATGAAGGGAGAGAGGGAGGGGAGGAGAGAGAGAGAGAAAGAGAGAGAGAGAGAGACATAAAGGATGAAAGAGAATCATTGATCAGATGCCTCTTGCACGCCTCATACTGGGAATTGAGCCTGCAACCCAGGCATGTGCCCTGACCGGGAATCTACTGTGACCTCCTGGTTTATAGGTCAATGCTCAACCACTGAGCCATGCTGGCCGGGCAACCATTTACTATTTTAAAACTAAGATAGCCTGTTAATAATAGATGTATGAATTTTCACAAATATGTATATTTTCTACACGTTTTGCTTCTTGAAGAAGATGCTGGCTCAGCAAATGCTTTTTACATACCTGTAATTTTGTCATGGTCTTAAGGATGTTAACAAATGGTTTGGATTCTTAATAGACACCTGAATACTCTGATTCATGAATTTTTTTCCTGCGCATGATTGCATCTCTCTTTTTTTTTTTATATATATATTTTATTGATTTTTTATAGAGAGGAAGGGAGAGAGATAGAGAGTTAGAAACATCGATGAGAGAGAATCATCGATCAGCTGCCTCCTGCACATCTCCCACTGGGGATATGCCCGCAACCCAGGTACATGCCCTTGACCGGAACCGAACCGGGGACCTCTCAGTCCGCAGGCCAACGCTCTATCCACTGAGCCAAACCGGTTTCGGCTGCATCTCTTCTTTGGCTAAAGCATATATACCAACTTGGATTCCCTACTAATTAATCTGTGGTGTGGAAGATCAATGAAAAAAAATTAACGAATGGATTTTGTTTCTTACATTTCTAGTTAAGGAATATATTTCTTCTTTAGCAACTCACTTATGGTCCTTGTTATATAACCCACTAATGGTCATTAATTAAAGATGTTTAAATTGAAATATTTCTTTGAATTTTTCAAGTCTTATAGCTCATACTAGAGGCTGACTGCACGAAATTCGTGCAAGAGTAGGTCTTCCTTCCCCAGATGCTGGCACCAGCTTCCCCCTGGCACTCAGGACCTAGGCTTCACTCTGGCTGCCGGCAGGCACCTGGGACCCGGGCTTCTCTTGCAGTTCCACCTTCATCTGGAAAGTCGTGCAGAAGGATGTCTGGTCTAATTAGCATATTATACTTTTTATTATAGATTAGGGCAGTCATGCTGCAACAAAATTTATATGCTGATATCTGAGATTAAGAGATAACATAATTAAACTATTATTTACTTTTGGAAAGAATTACTTATTAAGAGATAATTCTTATGTCTGTTAATTGTTCTCTGATCTGTGTACCTGTGTAATGGCTGCACCAGGGAAGAGCAGTTATACTTTGTTACATCTTAGTAAATAAATTTGTTCAGTGAAAGTTTCACCTTGATCTAAGGTGTTACCTTAAATACATTTGGTAAGGCATTTGCAGTTGGATTACTAGTATAAATACAGAAAACAAACAGTATTTGTGAATTTCGCTATTTCTTTTGTGTAGTGACATTTTTAAGCATTAATGTGTAGTTTTTTTCCCTCTGATGACCAAAAACCTTCAGTATTCTTGGGCATAATAACAGAGGTATCACTCAGACTTAAACATTGAGGATAGTTACTGCGTGTTATAGATACGTATCTCCATTTTTTACCTTTGAAAGGCAGCCTTTTTACTTGGACATTTTTTGTTGTTGTTAATCTTCACCTGAGGATATTTTTCCCCCACTGATTTTTAGAGAGAGTGGAAAGGAGTCGGGGAGGCACAGATAGAAAAACATTGGTGTGAGAGAGACATATCAATTGGTTGCCTCCCCCCATGCCCTGACCAGGCCAAGGATCAAGCCTGCAACCAAGGTACATGCCCTTGACTGAAATTGAACCCAAGGCCCTTCAGTCCGCAGGCCGACGCTCTAACCACTGAGCAACCAGCTAGGGCTACTTGGACATTTTTATTACAGGTGCATAGATGCTGGATGTCCATCTATTTGTATATGTGTTCATATAAAGGCATACATGTCAAAGTATATATATTTTTGTATCCTTCTAAAGGAAAAGGGGAAATGTTTGATAAGAATAGAGAGAAAGGTAGTATTGGATCCAGAATATAATTGTTGTATTTTCGGTTGAATATCATCTATAATTACAGTACCAGCACAGGATCCACCATAGTATCTCTGTACTAAGTAAATAATAGTTTAATAGTACTTGAGAGACATTTTCCATGAATCAATCTTTCTCAGAGAGTTCTTTCTCTGTTTTATCATTGTTCTTCTGACAAAATACATGTATTCTGTAATTTGAGAGAGATGGGAATGCCATTGAAGGAAAAAGCAAACTTCAGTTAAACTATTAAATACAGAGGTTTCCTATATAGCATAGCTCATCAGTTCTAAGAAGCACTTACTTTTAGTTTTTAACATCTCTGAAATTGAGAGTGCATCTTATTTGTCTCATGTCTGACAGTTGACAGTGATTTTTCATCTGTCGTACATAAATGATGCATCTTCCAGTTGATAATGTTAAAGATTCTATGAAATATTTGTGTTTATCTGTGTAGGATAAATGTTTGTTACATGCATTGCTTAAAGTATTTTGAAAGGTCTAGACTAAATATTTTATCCCTAATTTTTTTCACATTTTGGAAATTGTTTTTTACAAAGGAGTCAACCTACTACTAAAGTTATTAGTATTTTAATATATTTTCTCTTAAATTTTATTAGGTAGATTATATAAGAATAATCAAAATGTTGCAAAAATAATTGTAATTTGTTTTTTTTAAAGCTGAATAACGTTAACCTTACTTATTGAATGTTTCTACTAATTTCACAATTTAATGGTTTAAAATATCTTGATTTTTTTCAAAGCTTTTTTTTATAATTTAATTTAAAAAGTTGGATAGCTATCATCTTGAGCAATATCTGATTCTTATAGGATGATGTCATTTTTTTTATTTTTAGAGTCTTACGTTTAAGGAAAAAGTAACAAGCCTTAAATTTAAAGAAAAACCTACAGATCTGGAGACAAGAAGTTATAAGTATCTTCTCCTGTCCATGGTGAAACTAATTCATGCAGATCCAAAGCTATTGCTTTGTGTAAGTATTTTTATGAAACACCTTGGAATTATTACATTAACCTAATTTGGTTTAACTGAAATGCCAAGAACTTAAATATAATTATTAGCTAAAGATCACTTATTGTTCCTTTCTGATCATGAAGATATCACTAAGAAAACAAACTTAATAGAGAATACTAATAGAATTAGATCAGATGTTTTACTTTTCTTCTTTATTTTCCTTATCGTTAACTAATATATTTTGGTAAGCTCTTCTGTCCTTACCCTGTTACCAGATTATATGTTATTCAGGCATTATCCTGGGATGGGGGTGAAAGTAATGAAGCAAACCATAAATAAGAGTGCTTTCTACAGCTATATGGTTGTTTTGTGTTTTAAAATATATTTTTATTGATTTCAGAGAGGAAGGGAGAGGGGAAGAGAGAGAGAAACATCAATGATGAGAATTATTGATCAGCTGCCTCCTGCATGCCCCACACTGGGGATTGAGCCCACAACCTGAGCATGTTCTTTGACTAGGAATCGAACTGTGACCTCTGGTTCATAGATTGAGGCTCAACCACTGAGCCACGCTGACTGGGCTGGTTGGTTTTTTAAATATTTAACTAGAGGCTCGGTGCATGAAATTCTTGCACGGGTAGGGTCCCTAGGCTTGGCCTGCGATCAGGGCCGGTCAGGGCCTTCCTTTGTTTCATGCCACCCCCTGGTGGTCAGCGCACATCATAGCGGTCGAACTCCCAGTCGATTGAACTCCCGAGGGGACAATTTGCATATTAGCCTTTTATTATATAGGATAGGATTGCTATTGCCAAACCATTTAGCTTTTCTGTCCTCCTTTCTTCCTGTCAGCCTTCTATTATCACTGGCTTTGCCTACAAATTCTGTATTAGAAGGAAGAGATGAAAATGGGTGTGGTTAGCACCCAATTACTGTCATAACTCTACTCTTATAGCCTCAGATGGTATTAGTTTCCAGAGAACATCAGTCTGGTACACAACATAATTAGGAACTAGCAGATGTAAATGAGTGATAGTTACATGAAGTGATTAAAAGCATGGGCTCTGGAGACAGACAAGCTATGTGATTTGGGTGACTTAACCTCTCAGTGCTTTAGTTTTCTCATGTGAAATGCTATGATAATACTTCCTACTTTAGAGAGATTAAGAAGATTGAGATCCAACATGCTATGTTTTAGAAACAATGTATAATAAATGCATAATATGCACAAATGTTAGCTGTTATTTCTGTTAGTAGAATAGTTGACATTAATATTATTAATGTCCCAGCTGTAACAGTAATACATTGTGAAGTTCATAGGATAACATGTTTAACTTCTGTGGTGTTTCTCCCATCTCTGGAGAGCAGCATCCAGAAAGACTTCTTATTGCTTTGCTCTACAGTAGGCCTTATAAGTTCTAAGGTATGTTCTATTTTGATGGCATATTTTTCAAATTACTATACTATAGGAGTTTATTACTTGATATCCATAGTTTCAAGAGTTCTTTGGAACACCCTGAATTTTAAAAAAGAAAAGGGTATATGTGAGTATTTTTTTCTGGAGAGAAACAAGACAGAGAGGGAGACAGAATTCCTCAAAAGATTAGTGACATTTTGAACTTATTGAAAAGCCCATTCATATTTGGGAGTCTAAAAGAATAAATTGCTAGAACTTTGGCAAAGAAATTTTTCATAAAGACTATCAGTGAGACTCTATAAAAGTAATGAAATACTCTTTTCCTTATCTTTTGTTATATAGCACAAGTTATTTTATCATGCATGTCAAATATATATTAGTATTACTCTTTCTGCATGGCTGAAATTCAGGATCAAAGAAGGCACTAAAGTCATTGGTGCCATATGTGTTAAATATTTTATTTTAAAATATTTTATTGTTAAAAGAATAAGAATTTAAACAAAACTTGCTATGTTCCAAGTTTGAAATTTGGCAAGCACAAAAGGACCATTTAAAATTGAAATTATTTTCTTTGCTGCCATCTAGTGGTTAAACAACTTTTCTCAGCATAACCAAAGGTAAGTTAAAATAGTGATTCATTGATTATTTCATATTTTACATATAAAAATTCTAAATTTTAGTAAATAGGAGAAATATAGGACTAACTATTAAATGATCTTAATCATGCTATTTTTAAAGTAATACAGTGTTATTGTCTTCCATATCTACCATCTCTATTCTCATTTTTTCAGGCCTCCTAATTACTTAGCTTGCATCATCTCCTACCCCTCTCTAATCATTTTTCTGCAATAAATTTATGGTGATCTCTTTAAAAAGCAAATGCTCCCTGCCAAGCTTAAAACTTTTACTTGAAATTTCTCTTGGAATAAAGACCAAACTCCAAGTAGACCTGCAAGGTTACACAAAATCTGACTCCCACCTGCCATTCTAGCATATTTTTCTGTATCTCTTTTTTCTCTAGTCACAATGGCCTGCTTTTTCTCTCCATCTTACCACATTCTTTCATATCTACCCTTACACTTGCTGTCCCCTCTGCATACTATATGCTTCCCTCTCTTCTTCACATAGTAATTCCTGCTCATTCTGAGCTATCATCCCTGCCCTCAGGAAGCCTCTCTGATGCTGTCAGATTTCCCTGTTACAGGTGGTCATAGCAGCATGTATCTTTATAGTTCTCATCTCATTTGCAGTCTAACGCTTATGGGTCTGATTATTTTATTGATGTTTTTCTTTCTCACCAGACTGCATGCTCCTGGAGGGTAGGAAACACATTTTTTTTACTTGTCAAGTCTTTGATATCAGGTTATTAACAACTAAATATAAATGTTATTGGGTTAACGACTGAATATAATGTTAGAAAATAGGCTAACAATTTTGAATTATAGACATACCAGGGTGAGGGCTTACCTTAATCATTATGAGGGGAAAGAATCTGTAGTTAGCAAAATACAAATATGGGCACGAGATGCACTGGCTTCACTTTACTGAACCATATATTCTTGAAGTGTAACTAGATGCTTCCAAGTTTTAGGAAGCTTTTTAGTCTCTTCAAGTAGGTAGACATTTGCATTTATATACACCTCCAGTTGGCTTTTTGTAGTACCCAGTGATTTTCCACAATTAAGGAGACTGAGGTATGGGTGTCTGGAGGTGTGAAATATCTAGCCCTGTATGAATTTGGATAGCTCCTCTGTACTGGACAAGAGGGCTGCACAGGATATTTGTGCAGCCCTCACCCAACATGCATGTTCTTTGCCTTTGATCACAATCATTTATAAGATCTAAACCAGTAAGTTCTAAACCAGAGATATATGATTTAGTCATTGTAGTGTTGCTAAAAAAATTATATTGCTGATAACGATTTCTTATCAAAAGCTGATACCTAGTTTGTTTTCTTTCAATTAGGATTTTTTTTTGCTGGGCATTATTTACATTAATGAACAAGTATAAATGTAGACTAAGAAACTGCTTAACAAAAGCAGTTTTGATTTATTAAAAAATTCCATAATTTTTATTGCGATATAATTCAATACCATAAAAGTCACCATTTAAAATTGTACAATTCACTAGTTTTTAGTATATACCAGGTTGTGTAGCTATTACACTATCTAATTCTAGAACATTTTTATCACCCCCTGAAGAAACCTGATATCCATTAACAGTCACTCTACATTCCCTCCTCTATTTAGCTACTGTCAAATAGTTATTTTATTGAAAATTGCTTTTTTTTCCCTTGCAGAATCCAAGAAAACAGGGGCCTGAAACCCAAGGCAGTACAGCAGAATTAATTACAGGCCTTGTCCAACTGGTCCCTCAGTCACACATGCCAGAGATTGCTCAGGAAGCCATGGAGGTAAGGGAAAAAAGATTTCTAGGCTCTTGTAACTATATACATTCTTGATGTTTCTTTGCTATGTAGTTTCTGTGAGTGGTAGATGTAGTTTCTGGACATCTGTCAGAGAACTATGTCATTTATGGAGATGATATGTTTTTGTCTACACACTGTATTGTTAACTCCATGGAGAAAGAAGGGATTTACTTACTTCATATCACACATAGCAATACATTGTGCATATTCTTATGCTTAATAAAACACTCAGAATTTTCTCATTGTAGTTGACTCTCAAAATATGTATTAAAATTTCAAAATATATATTAAATCTAGATACAATTCGCCTACCATAAAGTTTACTGTTTTAAAGTGTACACGGTAGTTTTTAGTGTACTCATAACGTTGTGCGGCCATCTCCACTATTTAATCCTCATTCCCCTGTCATCCCAGCTGCTGGCAACCCCACTCTGTCTTCTGTCTATAGATTTGCTCATTGTAGATATTTCATATAACTAGGATCATATAATATGTGGCTTTTAGTGTCTGCCTCTTTTCATTTAATGTAACGTTTTCAAGGTTCATCCATACTTTAGCATGAATCACTACATTTTTTTTATTGCCACATATTTTGTTGTATGGATATATCACATTTTTTTCATCTATTCATCACTTGATGGACATTTAGGATTGTTCTACTTTTTGACTATTATGAATAATGCTGCTATGAAAATTTGTGTAAAAGTTGTGTGGATACATCTCTTTTTTTTAAGGTTGGAAGAAATCTTCAAAAAAGATATTTTTTAATTTATTGTTTAACATATTACACATGTCTCCTTTCCCCCCCATTGACCCCTCCCTGGCCACTCCCACCCCCCAGCACATGCCCCTACCCTTTCAGTGTTCGTGTCTATTGTTTATGCATATAAGTCCTTTGGTTGATCTCTTGGATACATCTCTTAAGTATATAGCTAGCAGTGGAATTCCTGGTTCATATGGTAACTCTGTTTAACTTTTTTAGTAACTGCCAAACTCTTTTAAAAAAAATGTTTTTGTTGACTTTTTTAAGAAAGAGGGAAGGGAGAGGGAGAGAAAGTTAGAAACATTGATGAGAGAGAAAACATCAGTTGACTGCCTCCTGCATGCCCCCTACTGGGGATCAAGCCTGCAACTTGGGCACGTGCCCTGACTGGGAATCAAACCTATGACCTCTTGGTGCATTGGCACAATGCTCAATCAACCGAGCCATACCGGCCGGGCCAAACTCTTTATCAAAGTGACTGTGTCCTTTTATATCCCCACCAGCAATATGTGTGAGGGTTCCAGTATCTTCTTGCCAGTACTTCTTGTTGTTTATCTTTTTGTTTATAGCCATTATAGTGGGTGTAAATACAGTTGACTCTAAATATATATACATACACACACACACACACACACACACACACACATATGTACATACTAGAGGCCTGGTGCACAACATTTGTGCACTGGGGAGAGGGGGGTCCCTCAGCCTGGCCTGCTCCCTCTTGCAGTCTGGGACCCTTCAGCGGATGTCCAACTAAGCTGGCAGTCGGACATTCCTTGAGGGATCCTTAGCGCTGCCATGGAAGTGGGAGAGGCTCCCGCCACCACTGCTGTGCTGGGCAGCCGTGAGCCCAGCTTATGGCTGAGCAGCGCTCCCCCTGTGGGAGCACACTGACTACCAGGGGGCACTTCCTGCGTTGGGCATCTGCCCCTTGGTGGTCAGTGCGTGTCATAGTAACCGGTCATTCTGCCATTCGGTCGATTTGCATATTAGCTTTTTATTATATAGGATATATATTACTTGCTAAATATGGTTTTAATTTAAATCAGTTTTATTGGGGTATGATTTATATATTATAAAATCAGAAGATTTAGAATATTTCTCATCACCTAAGAAGTTCCCCTTGTCTTTTCCAGTCAGTGTCCCCACTCCCTGTCCCAGAGATCACTGGTCTGATTTCTATCATATAGCATTAGCCTTGCCAGTTCTAGAAGCTCATGTGAATGGAATCTTAGACTATATGTTCCTTTTTGCATGGCTTCTTTCACTCAGCAAGTTTTTGAGATATATTCATGTTATTTCATGTATTAGTTCCTTTTTTTAATTGATAAGCATTCTGTTGATGATTATACCAGTTTACTGACTTGTTAATGGCCATGTAGGTGAACATATTCATCATTACTAAAAGTTATCTTGTGCTCCTTTTTGTTCCCTCCTTCCCTCCCTCCTGTACCTCCTGCCTGCTTCCTTGCATCCCTCTGTAACCATTCATCCGCTTTTTGTTACTATAAATTATTTTGCATTTTATATAAATGGAATTATAAAGTATGCACTTTCTTCCTGTCTTTTTTTTTTTTTTTTTTTTTGACATCACAGCAGAATTTAATAAAGGCTAGTCTTTGAGGCACTATTCTCATCAAATGTCCCAAGACAAAATTGTTCCATGGTCCATTACTGCTGGGGTCCAACCCCAGCAGGTCCAGGGGTCTCCAAAGGTGTGGACGGAGTCGGCGAAGAAGGGATGACACGGAGACAGCGTTCAGTTGATCAGCAGCCTAGCCAGGATCTCTAGCCAAGTTCTGGTCAGGATCTCCAGCGAAGTTCTGGTTAGGATCTCCAGCGAAGTTCTGGTTAGGATCTCGAGCCAGGTTCTGTGTCCATGTTCTCTTGCTAGGTTCTCCAGCCAGGTTCTGTAGCCATGTTCCCTCGCTAGGTTCTCCATCCAGGTTCTGTCCAGGTTCTCCAGCCAGGTTTAGTCACCAGGTTCTAGTCAGGTTCTCTTGCCATGTTCTATCCAGGTTCTGTGGCCAGTTTCTGTCCAGGATCTTTTGCCATGTTCTCTCCAGCAAAGTTCTTCTGTCTCTAGGTTCTGTGTAGGTTCTGTGGCTAGGTTCTGTCCCTGTCTTCTTTAACTTAGAATGATTATCATGACATTCATCTATGTTGCATGTATCACTAGTTCATTCCTTTATAAAAATTTCATTCCTTTTTATTGCTGTACTAGAGGCCCAGTGCACGAATTCGTGAACCTTGAAAGGAACTGTGGGCCTCAAGGCTGTGGTGGGCATAGGGGCAGGTCTCAGCACATCCTCCGCGCCTCCACCTGGCCCTCCCATTCCCCGCCACAGCCCCTGGTCCCCTGTCTGCCGGCAGCCTCGCACCTGCTGACGGTGCCGAGCAATCGGGACTGGCCCTGGGCGCCAGCAGCAGGTGTGAGCAGCAGCTCCGGTGCCGGCAGCAGTTGCAAGCGGTGCCGTCACCGGCAGCGGGTGTGAGAGGCGGCTGCTGGCCCTGATTGCCCCTCAGGAGCCGGGGGAGGTGGAGAAGCCCTGAGGGGTGATTGGGGCCGGCAGCTGCCACTTGTACCCGCTGACAGCGCTGAGTGATTGGGACTGGCGTTGGCGGCGGGTGTGAGTGGCAGCTCCAGTGGCAGCAGGTGTGAGCGGTGTGCAGGAGCAAAGAATTTACAGTAACCACCAGAGGCTCACTCTGATGACAGCGACTGGCGCCCTGCCTTGGTCTGGTGCCACCGTTCACCTGCTCCACCATCCCACTGCAGCTGACACCCTCCATGTTCTGCGCTCTGCCTCCTGCTGCCAATGCCTGCCATGTTCCACATGCGCCCCCTGGTGGTCAGCACACGTCATAGCTACTGGTTGTTTAGTTGTTGTGCCATTTGGTCTATTTGCATTTTAGGGTTTTCTATATATAGATAGGGTTCCATTGTGTGGCTGTACCACAATTTATCCATGTTGATGGACATGTTTTTACTTTTTGGTTGTTACAAATAAAGATTCTAGGAACATGTATGTACAAATCTGTGTGCAGACATGTGCTTTCATTTCTCTTGGGTAAATACCTGAGAGTGCAAAAATCTTACTATGTGGTCTTTTTTTAAAAAAATATATTTTATTGATTTTTTTACAGAGAGGAAAGGAGAGGGATAGAGAGTTAGGAACATCGATGAGAGAGAAACATCGATCAGCCGCCTCCTGCACACCCCCTACTGGGGATGTGCGCGCAACCAAGGCACATGCCCTTGACCGGAATCGAACCCGGGACCTTTTAGTCTGCAGGCTGACGCTCTATCCACTGAGCCAAACCGGTTAGGGCATTATGTGGTCTTTTTAAGAGAAACAGCTTAAATATAAGGGCATTGGAAGGTAGACAGTACAAGGATAGAAAAATATCCCAAAAAACTGGAGATACAGAGGGATATCTCATTATTACAAAGGTGTTCACTTCATCTGGAAATAAACTCTATATGAACCTAATAACAAAGCTTCAAAATATAACATGTAAATAGAGAGAGAGAGAGATAAATCCAGTTACAGTGGGGTACTTGAGCATACCTTTCTCAGCACCTGACGGAATAAACAGGCAAAATAGTAGGGATAGAAGATTTGAACAATAAAACTATCAAATAAGACCTATTTGACATATATAGAGCAATACACTCAATAAAAACTCTTTTTTCTTTTTTTTTTTAATCCTCACCTGAGGATATTTTTTCCATTGTTTTTCATAGAGAGTGGAAAGGAGAGAGGGAGGGTAAGAGAGAGAAGAAAGGCAGAGAAACATTGATGTAAGCGAGACACATTGGGTTGGTTGCCTTTCACACTCGTACTGGGGCCAGGATCGAACCTGCAACCGAGGTATGTGCCCTTGACTGGGAATTGAACCCTTCGGTGAGTCAGCCAACACTATCCACTGAGCCACGCCAGCCAGGGCTGCACTTTCTTTTTAAGTACACATGAAACATTCAGTGTATCTTGAGCATGAAGTCTCAACAAATTCTAAAGGAGTTATTCAGAATTATTTTTATGACTATAGTAAAATTAAGCTAGAAATTCATAACAAAAAGTTAAACATAGGACCTAACAATTTCACCCAACAGGTATGTACCCAACAGAACTGCATCTATATGTTTACCAAAAGACATACAAAAATATTAATAGCAGCATAATTTGTAGTAGTCAAAAATTGAACTTAAATGTATCAACAGTAGAATAAATTGGTTATATTTGGTTATATTCATTATACTGATTACAACAATGAAAAAAGTGAACTGCTAAGTGCAAAGCATGAACAAGTCTCACAGACATAATGTTGAGAGAAAACAGACAAACACAAAAGAGAACATGCTGTAAGGAACAGGCAGAAATAATCTATGGTGATAGAAATTAAAAAGTGGCTAGTTTTGTCAAGGCCTAATGACTGGAAGGGAATGTAAAAAAGGCTTCTGGGTGTTGATAATGTTTAGCTAGGTACTGGTTACATGAGTATATACATTTGTGAAAATTCATTGCACTATACATTTAAGATTTGCTACTTTATTGTTTAAGCTGTATACTTCATTTTACCAAAATGCTTATATTTGTATACATTGCTGTTGGTCCTATAAATTAGTATATTCCTTGCATTCTTTTTAGAAGGCTATTTGACAATATTTGGCAGGAGCTATGCAAATGCCTTTTTAGTGTGTGTGCTTATAATTCCCTTCCTATATTTTTTAATCCTGAGTACAATTTAAAAAGGAAAGAGCTACACAGATATGCTTACTGCTCTTATCCTATATAATAAAAGCCCAGCGACCTAACAGCGGAACGACCAGAATGACTGGTTGACCGGTCACTATGATGCTTACTGACCACCATCGGGCAGACACTCAATGCAGGGGCTGATCCCTGCTGGCCATGCCTCCCGCCAGTGCATGAATCTGTGCACCAGGCCTCTAGTTTATAACAGGAGGCTATTAGAATTTTAAATATTCACTAATAAGAGAATGGGTTAATATTTAATGATAAGAGAATGATATTTTAATTTGGTGAACTATCCATTTAAATATCCATTAAAACATATGGAGCTCACCAGCAATATGGAAAAGTATGAAATGTCAGATCAGTATACTATGTTTATAGCTCTGTTAAAATATATGTCAAAACGAAAAAACAGAAGGGAACATGAAAAGGAAAACAATTATATTAACTCAGGTAAAAGGCTAACATTTTTTCCCAATATTTCAAAAAATATTTTGTCATTCAATAACAGAGAATTTGCCACTTAAAATTTTGTCAGTAAATTATATTAAATTTTTGCACAATAGTGACAAAATTGAATGTTAATTTGTGCTGTTTTTCCTTGATATGAGTTATAAATTACATAATTTTTTAAGAGTCTCTCACTGAATAGCAGTTTTCAGTATGTATTTAAAAGTATTGACAGTAAAAATGTTAGGGATAAGGTAATAGAGGTGTAACCTTTAATCATTTATAATTTTTGGAGTTATAAAGTAGTCCAGGGGTGGACATTTAAATAACTTTACTGATTTGAGGCAGATTATCAGTGCAGCTATTTGCAATTTATGCACTAGATTTGGTTTTAAGTCTGGTTCTCAACCTTCCTAGTGCCACGACCCTTTACTACAGTTCCTCATCTTGTGGTGACCCCCAACCATAAAATTATTATTTTATTATTTTTTTAATATATTTTATTGATTTTTTTATAGAGAGGAAGGGAGAGGGATAGAGAGTTAGAAACATTGATGAGAGAGAAACATCCATCAGCTGCCTCCTGCACACCTCCCACTGGGGATGTGCCCGCAACCAAGGTACATGCCCTTGACCAGAATCGAACCTGGGACCCTTCAGTCCACAGGCCGGTGCTCTATGCACTGAGCCAAACCGGTTAGGGCCATAAAATTATTTTCGTTGCTACTTCATAACTGTAATTTTGCTACTGTTACGAATCGTAATGTAAATATCTGATATGCAGGATGTATTTTCATTGTTCGCAGCCCACAGGTTGAGAACCGCTGTAAGAGAAGAAATCAATTCTCATTATTTGTTCCAAACAGTGTTTCATTGGAATTGTAATAAGATGCTGTAAGAGCCGAGTAAAGAATTGCCAAATATGCAGACTAAGGACTAAGAAATGTTCAGAGCTCAACAGTGTGCCTCTGGGGGAAGCACTGTGGAGGTGGAGTTAGGGTAGGGCTGGTCTGAAGGAAGAGTCTTTATATAAACTTTTTGATGGCTTTATTTCATAATAGTTTTTTTGTATATTAGTTGTATATTTTTAATTAATTAATTAATTAATTAATTCCTGTTAATGTTCTGTGAGCCAAATTCCAATTCAAATTGAAATATTTTAGGATGAGCCCAGCTGGCGTGGCTCAGTGGTTGAGCATTGACCTATGAAACAGGACGTCACAGTTCAATTCCCGGTTGGGGCACATGCCCGGGTTGCGGGCTCCATCCCCAGTGTGGGGCGTGCAGAAGGCAGCTGACCAATGATTCTCTCTCATCATGGATGTTTCCATCTTCCTCTCCCTTCCTCCCTGAAATCAATAAAAATATATGTATTTTTTAAAAAGAAATATTTTAGAATGAATACTCTGCTATGAAATGCAAAGTCTGTTTTGCTCTATTCCAATAGAATTCGTGGCAAGATTACTTTTTCTTTTGGCCTAGAAGTAAAATAATTGTTGTGTGCATTAATTTTGGCAAGCTCTTCTTACTTGAGGATTAACTTTATGTTCCACAGAATTCTTTGATACTTATTGAAATTATTCATATTATAAAGCAATTTTTACATGTATATATTGGTGTTCTGAATTCATCAGTCACGTAACTTCCTGCATGTATGCCATTTTAAGTAAGAATCATACAAATAAAGTTATTTATTTACATATGTATCTTGTTTCCTGGAGATCTGGGTTCTCAGAGTTCTCTTTTGCCTTACACTGTATGTTGAGGCTACAATTAAATTTGATTTGTTAGCATTTATAAAATAAATAGTCCAATGTTACGTTTACCAAAAGTTTTTTGAGTAAGTCTTGTTTCTCTTTTTAAAAATTCAGGCTCTGCTGGTTCTTCATCAATTAGATAGCATTGATTTGTGGAACCCTGATGCTCCTGTAGAAACATTTTGGGAAATTAGGTATTTGGACTTTTATTTTTTAATTCAATTTAAAATTTTATTTTGTATTTATTTCTTGTCTTTAAATATTAACTCTATAGTACTTGATTTATTGTAAAACTTTATTCACCTATAACTCCAGAGGTTTTATGATTTTGTTTGTTATTTGACTTGAAATTATTAGTTAGAATATTTCTTGTTTTAACTCTGGGAACAATGTAACAGCAATGTAGAAAAAAAATTTTAATTGTGCTACATTTTATTACCCAACCATAAGTACGGATATATGTTGTAATCTCTTTTATTACATATTTCTATGTAATTACAACTGTGTTTTAAATTGTATGCAGTTATAAGCTTAGAGTTTTAAAATTTTGTAATGTTAATAGTTTGCTTTTATAAACTATGATTTTGTAAGTTTTTTTAATAACCATTGTTTTTGATGAGGGAATTAATGACAAACATCTGCCTAGAAGGTAAAAACATACAATATTTTATAATTTCTTTCTTATGTTATATAAATTACTACCTTTTTCATAAGTTTTTTTTTTAAAGTATATCTTTATTGATTTCAGAGAGCAAATTACTACCTTTTAATGAGCACAAAAAGGAGTACATTGAGGAAAATTTAGCCTCAGGTTTTGTCATTATCTTACCATAGAAGTGAGTACACTAAGTCACTTGGCAGCTGAGTTCAGTCCTCCACCAAGAGCAGTGCTCTTCCATACTAATGCAATGTGAACCACACATGTACTTCAAAATTTTCCGGCTTCCACATGAAGAAGTAAAAAGAAACAGGGAACATTAATTTTAATATATTTTTAATCCAGGATATACCTCTAAAATATTACTTCACTACGTAATCAATACAAAAGTTATTAATGAGATCTTTGACTAAAGTCTTTAAAATTTTATGTGTGTCACACTTAGAGCACATCTTAATTTGAACAAACCACATTTCAAGTGCTCAGTAGCCGTAAGTGGTGGCTGGCTAGTGGCTACCACATTGGATATTACAACTTCAGTCTAGGGATCAGCAAACTTTTTCTCTAAAGGGCCAGGAAGTAAATATTTTAGGTTTTGTGGGCCAGATAGTCTCTGTCATACTATTCATTTCTACTATTGGAGCGGCCACAGACAAATGTAGATGAATGGGTATGGCCATGTTTCCCCTAAAATTTTGTTTGCAACAGCAAATGATGGGTTGATTTGGTCTGTAGGCAGTTGTTTGAAGGTATTGCAGCTCTAGAGTACTGGGTTTACTCCAGTCTGTGCTGTATAGCACATGGTCTGTCATTTCTTTTTGAGTCCTCCATAAGGATTAGATGCATGGACAAAATAATTGGGAGTTTGGGGATAAGAGGTGTAGAAGTACTTGACTTTTAAAAAAATATAATCTGTAGATTTATTCCCTTTGATTATCACACTGTTAACATTTTGATAACCATTTCTCTAAAACACATCTCAGAACGGAGAAAAAGCTCCTCTAAACTTGTGTCTATTCTGAGAGAATGTCATTACATACTGATTATTATATGTATTACTTATTGACAATGCTGATAACAATGAACTTCATATTATTGCAGCTCACAAATGCTTTTTTACATCTGCAAGAAATTAACTAGCCATCAAATGCTTAGTAGCACAGAAATTCTCAAATGGTTGCGGGAAATTCTGATCTGCAGGAATAAATTTCTTCTTAAAAATAAGGTAAGCAAAATGACATCTTTAAAAAGGGAAGAATGTTTGGAATTGTAATGGGGAAAAAATTAAGCAAATGTTTATTAGCCAAGTCAGTTCTACTTAGCTCCTCCCTCCTTCACAAAGTTTAAGGGAAGTAATTGCTAACAAATCAACATTTAAAAATTATTTTGAGGTCCTGGCTGGTGTGGCTCAGATGATTAGAGCATTGTCCTGTGCACCAAGGGGTTGTGGGTTTGATAACCTATTCAGGGTGCACATGAGAGGCAACCGATTGATATTTCTTGCTCACATCGATATTTCTATCTCTCTCCCCTTCTCTTTTCTTCTCTGTCTAAAATCAGTTTAAAAAAAAGAGGAAGTAGGAAAAATAAAATATTATTCTGAGGCTTTGGTTTTAGAGTTGCAATCCTGACTAATTCTAATTGAGCGAATAAGCAGGTCTCTGTGGGGGCAGGCCTACGAGGAATGGAGGCTGCTATAACCAAAATAGATTGAAGAGCATATTCTACCTCTGCTCTAAAGTTCATACCTAAGATTTGGATTTTATGGCTATACTAGATCAGGGAATGCTATCTATCAAGAAGCTGAAGGAAACACACAATCTAGGTTTATTTACATTCCTGCCATCAAGGTTTCACCTCTTGAAAATATCAGGAAGCTTCTTCCTTGGGGCTGAGTGAAAAGTTCGATTATGAACTTTTGAAGCATTGTGACAGGTTTTGAGGGATAGAGAAGAGCCTTAAATTTCTTTTAATATAAAGTTTCTATAGTTAGTTAAAAATTCTATTATGGCATAGTTTTAGGAGTATTGGATTCATTGAATTTTTATCCTTTTCTAGAATCATAGCTATGAGAAATCTTAAATGTAACAGACTAATATGCTTTTCAGTATACCATGCAGCTTATCACATTTTCTTTATTTAGAGATGGGCTAATGGTGAATTGTGTTTATTCACATCTGGCTTATCTTTCTCTGTTAAAATAGTGGAGTCTGACATTCCTAAAATAAGAAAGAACATTAGACTTCATAGTTTCATGCCCTTGCCTATGGTATAATTCTCCGGAGTAATCCAGCATTAAGTAATCCAGTAGTAAATCTAATCAGTGCAGTCACTCTTGTGACATACTTGGCATATATACCCGTGTTAATTACTTACTGGTCCAGAGGAGCTTAATCTCAAAAGAGTCAACTTCTAATTACTCTGAAATGGCAGATGATAAAATGTTATAGGAGAAAATCTTTATAAATCATGTTGATATTTTACTTGTGCCCATGTAAGACTGGGAAATGTTAATTTGCACTTCTAGAATCTGCTGTTTTGATGATTTCAAGGGTGGAAAACTGAGAGGCATTTCAAAGACATTGAGCAGCCGAAACCGGTTTGGCTCAGTGGATAGAGCGTCGGCCTGCGGACTGAAGGGTCCCAGGTTCGATTCCAGTCAAGGGCATGTACCTGGGTTGCGGGCATATCCCCAGCGGGAGATGTGCAGGAGGCAGCTGATCGATGTTTCTCTCTAATCGATGTTTCTAGCTCTCTATCTCTCTCCCTTTCTCTCTGTAAAAAATCAATAAAATATATATTAAAAAAAAAAAAAAGACATTGAGCAAACATTTGTACTACTAGGTTTCTGGTGAATGTTCCTTAAAGTGAGGAGAGGTGTTTCAGGGTAGTCTCAAAAAGGAAGACAACGCATAGTAAGTATTTATTTCTCTTGATTATCAGTGCTTCAGAAAGGCTTATTTATTTATTCTTTCTAGCAGGCAGATAGAAGCTCCTGTCACTTTCTGTTCCTTTATGGGATAGGATGTGACATTCCTTCAAGTGGAAATACCAGTCAAATGCCCATGGATCATGAAGAGTTACTCCGTACTTGTACTGCTGGAGCCTCTCTCCGGAAGGGAAAAGGAAACTCATCCATGGTAAGCAGCTTCTTTTGTACTTTTTCATGTCATCACCTGTGCTCTGTATTTTCTTCTGAGTGAACTTTGATAAATTTCAATGAGGTAATATAGCATGGTAGAGAACTGCTTAGATTCTAGTGCTATCACAGCTCTTGGTGGACAAAAGTTCCTAACCTCTGTGGCTCAATTCCTCAGTTTTAAAATAGGGATGATAATAATTCCTACCCCAGAATAGTTTAAAGATTAAATGGGATCATGTTTAAAACAGTATTTAATCAAGTATTTGACACTTACAAGCTATAACTGACAGGTATAATTATTATAAACTACTCCATAAGAAAGACCATTTAAATCCCAGAAGTTTAAAAGTTGTACCAACTTTAAAAAGTACAAATTTACTGGGAGAGAAAGCATTTTGCTTCATTATAGATAAACTAGTGACCCAGTGCACAGATTCATGCACATTGAAAGGAAATTAATTAGAAGGTGGCTGGTTGGGTGGGACTGGGTGAGATGGGCCAGACACGCCCTGGAGCCAACCTGTGGAGGTCCTTCCCTGCTGGTCACACCTGGGGTGGCGTCGTGGCTTTAAGGGCGTCTCCAGAGCGAGTGGGGTCCCTCCTCTGGCAGGTGGGGTCCCTCAGTCTGGCCTGCAGGGATGGGGCCGAAACTGGCTCTCTGACATTCCCTGAGGGGTCCCGGAGTGGGAGAGGGCACTCTGTAAAGTTGCTGTCGTACAGGGTGTGGAACACAAATATAAGTGAGCAGTAAACCAGATTCGGGGCTGACAGTGCCCCAACAACAACATAACCCACAGCTGAAGGTGGAATTGCACGGCCCTGTGAGGAATCAGGCTCCCTCCTCTCTGGTTTCTGGGTGCGTCACTTGAGAACCACCGCTGACAAGAGCATCTGCCTCCTGGTGGTCAGTGCGCATCATAGCTACTGGTCAGACAGACACTTAGCATATTAGCCTTTTATATATATATAGATGTTTCTGTGATTTTTGTTTGTGTGTGTAATTACTTTTAAAAGTAAATCATAGTATAAGCAAAATAAATAAATAAATAAAATCCTTACATGAGTTTCTTTTTCAGACTAAAGCTTTTTTAATCTCTAATTTTCAATATAAGAACTAAGTGGTTTGGCATTTATAATTGTCTACTTTGCCTGCAAAATTTACATTTGTTTCCTAAATGAGGATTTCATGCTTTGGGAATGTGTAATCCAGAATCAAGTATGTCTTCTAAAGTGATACTTAGTTCTTGTTTGTGCCCTCAGTTCAGCCAGTACTGAATGTGCTTATTTTATTTCTTCCCTCCAGTGGGTAGACTTTACTGTGATTTCCTCTTCCTTTGTTTTATAATTGACTGGGAAGTGGCTTACATTTTTTTGTAGGTTTATGTTGTGGCTGTTTTACTTGTGTCCATGTTCGACTTAATCCACATTTCTGGAATTTAAAATAGGCTAATACTTACTCAATCTGAAATTGGACAGATAGTAGCATTATGTTGGTCCAAATAATCTCATTTCTTATTCAAACAAGATATTTGGGGTTTGAAAATTTCTATGATGACTAAAGGGGAAAGCTCTTGTGGGTTATTGTGTATATGTATATATGTATATGTGTTAAACAGTTTGCTGCATTGTTGGGTTTTGTAAATAAAATTACCTACATTGAAAATATATACCTCCCACCCCTGACTCCCAGGATAGTGCAGCAGGGTGCAGTGGAACCCCACCGATATGCCGACAAGCCCAAACCAAACTGGAAGTGGCCCTGTACATGTTTCTGTGGAGCCCTGACACTGAAGCTGTTCTGGTTGCCATGTCCTGTTTCCGCCACCTCTGTGAGGAAGCGGATATCCGGTGTGGGGTGGATGAAGTATCGGTGCACAACTTCTTGCCCAACTATAACACATTCATGGAATTTGCTTCTGTTAGCAATATGATGTCAACAGGTAAATATGGGTAATTTTTTTTTTCACTCAGTCTGCCTTGAGTCATGATATTTGTGCTAGAAATTTAAGGATGTATTTAAGGTGACTACTTAGCAAGTTTACAGGGCTAATTCAGAAAGCTTACCTGAAATTCTTTTCTACACAGGTAAGGTGAAAATAAATAGCACTTGAAATTATTAACGTTTTACTGAATTTTCAATATAATCTACATTTGTTTAAAAACTGGCAGTATAAATTGCTGGTAGTTATAGATTATATGATGTACTTGGCCTGGATTGTATACATAGTGGGGCAAAAGTAGATTTACAGTTGTGAGTACATGAAACAGTTTATTTTTTATTATTATTATTTTAAAATATATTTTTGTTGATTTTAGAGAGGAAGGGAGAGGAATAAAGAGAAACATCAATGATAAGAAACATCATTGATCGGCTGCGTCCTGCACGCCCCACACTGGGGATCGAGTCTGCAACCTGGGCATGTGCCCTGACCAGGAATCAAACCGTGACCTCCTGTTTCATAGGTTGCTGCTTAACCATTGAGCCATGCCGGCTGGGCATGTTATTTTTAATTGTATTATTTTCCATACAAACAAATATAAACCTACTTTTGGCCCACCCTGTATAATGAAGTTTAAAACACATTGGCACATGTTTTGAGAAAATATAGGTAGGAGTAGCTATTTTATGCTGTGGACATTTGTGGAGTCCAAGTGAAATACCTTTCCTGTGAGGGAGGTAAAAGGAAATGTTCAGCTTTATCATTTGAAGCATTCATTCCACTCCTCCTACTCTGTCTTTTGGGTTGGGCTTGCCAGGTTCTCCATTGGCAAGCAAGGCTCTGAGTGCAATAGGTTGATTTCCTGTGGTCTTTGTTTAGGAAGAACAGCACTTCAGAAAAGAGTGATGGCACTACTAAGGCGCATTGAGCACCCCACTGCAGGAAACACTGAGGTATGCATCCCTCCTAGGCCCCCACCCTCAATTTTAAAAGCCTCATGTTATGCGTATGTGACCGGGAAGAGCATTTGAAGCAAATCTAAGATGTGTGCATGTTGCTATAGTAGGATATTATGTTTATGATATACACCAAGTTTGAGACCTATTACTGATTGATTTTTAGCTCTAGGTTTAAAGTTGCTTTTAAGTGGTAATTGCCTTCCTTTTAGGCTTGGGAAGATACACACGCAAAATGGGAACAAGCTACAAAACTAATCCTCAACTATCCAAAAGCTAAAATGGAAGATGGCCAGGTGAGTTTGTAAAGTTGATTTTTGTCTGTTATCCGTTTGCTAAACATATAACTTAGCTTCAGTACTCTTTGTGAATTATTCTTAGTACTATAAGCATAGAGTTGTCTTTAGACTGATACTTAATTGTGTTCATATTAATCTGCACTGTCTAATATGGTAGCCACTAGCTACATGTGCTACTTAAATTAAAATTTACCTTAAATTAATTAAAATTAAATACAGTTAAAATTCAGCTTCTTGGTCACGCAATAGCCACATTTCAAGGGCTCAATAGCCACATGTGGCAATTGGCTACTGTACTGGAGAGCACATACATAATAAAATGTATCCATCATTGCAGAAACATTGGACAGCACTGAGCTAGAGATGATTTGTTGTAGAGACCATTCCTTTACCCTCTTTCTTTCTCTTTCTCAGAGTATTTTACAAAATTTTCAGGAAAGGGGCAACAAAGGTAGAGAAAAAAAACACTAAAAGCAATACATTTTACTATTTTATTAAGTATCTAATAAAGAAATCTTATGGGCACATGATTTGAACCCACAGGTTAAGCGAAATATTAAAACTTGAACATTTAATTTATCAACTATTATCTGCTACCCTGGAAATGAACAATTACTTGGTATTTGATTTGATTTATGTTGGCCACATTGCTCTCATTATTACATGTCTTAGAAAAACCTGGCTAGTCTTTATTGCTTTTTTCTTACCATGCTTAATTAGAACAAGAAAAAAAAGTTATAGTTTCACGAAATAAAATGTGTACCTAATGCCATTATTTGGAGATGGCACGTGGTTTCAGAATGAAAGCTTTTTTCCCCCCTTTGGTAACTTTTATTGAGATATAAGTCACATACCATACAATTCACCCATTTAAAATGTATAATTCAGTGGGGTTTTTTTTGTAAATATATTTTTATTGATTTTTCACAGAGAGGAAGGGAGAGAGATAGAGAGTTAGAAACATCGATGAGAGAGAAACATCGATCAGCTGCCTCCTGCACATTTCCCACTGGGGATGTGCCCGCAACCCAGGCACATGCCCTTGACCGGAACCGAACCCGGGACCCTTCAGTCCGCAGGCCGACGCTCTATCCACTGAGCCAAACCGGTTTCGGCCAGTGGTTTTTAGTATAGTCACAAAGTTGTGCAACCATCACCATAATTTTAAAAACAATTCAAAACCTTTAACTATTATTCCCTAATTTCCCTCTTTCCCCTTTCCCCCACGCACCCTCATGCGCACCCGCCCCTCTTCTCACCCCCCAATCAGACAACCACTAATCTGCTCTCAGTCTCTGTAGATTTGCCTATTTTGGACATTTCACATAAATGGAATCATGCAGTATGTGGTCTCTTATGACTGGTTTCTTTCACTTGGCATAGTATTTGCAAGATTCATTCATGTGAATCAAAGGTTTTTAAAAGAAATTTGATATTCTGGGTTGATAATATATGACAAAAATATATCAGTGACTCTTTAAAAATGTATATGGTAATCTTAAGTTTGGATTGGTTTTTTACTTCATTTTTTTCATCTTTCATGTAGTTTTTTCTTTAAAAAAATATTTTTATTGATTTCAAAGAGGAAGGAAGAGGGAGAGAGAGAGAGAAACATTAATACTGAGAGAGAATCATTGATTGGCTGCCTCCTGCATGCCCCACACTGGGGATTGAGTTTGCAACCTGGGCATGTGCCCTGACTTGGAATCGAACTGTGACCTCCTGGTTCATAGGTCGATGCTCAACCACTGAACCATGCAGGCTGGGCTAGCTTTTTCTTTTTATTTAAGCATAACAAAATCATATATAAATCTAAGTGAGAATTCAAAATATTCGGTGATGTACATACCTGTGCAACCAGCACCCACTTCAAGAAGTAAATTATTCCCAGTGTACCAGAACCCTTCACTGTGCCTCTTCCCAGTCATTAACAACCCTAAAATAACCATAATACTGACATAAATACAATAGTTTAACTGTTTTTAAACTTTATATATAAATGGAATGATAGAGATATACTCTCTTATATCTGCCTGCTTTCACTCAACATTGTGTTTGTGAGATTCATCCACACCGAAGGTCATGCACACTAGTCCGTGCAGTAGTAGTTCATTCATTGCTATTGCTATATATTATTTCATTCAACAAACAGTCTACAATTTAATTTTTCTTTCAACTCTTCTTTTGGCATTGGATAGCTATACAAAAATACTTAGTTATTTTGAATAGTGCTGTTATGAACATTCTTGAATGTGACCATCTGGGTGGGTCATGGGGTATGCAGATGCACGTATGGGGAATATAAATTATTATAGCCACTTAAAATGTCCATTTGTTTCACAAAGACTTTTAAAAGACAGTTAACATGTTAAAATTAACTGTTATAATACCTATGTAAATAATGAAATTTTCAGCCTTTCAAAGATTTCTTTTTAAAGAACATATGCCACATGAGGTAACTGATCCACTAACAGAGGTCTATTAGTGTTTTCCTCCACTTTCATGAACAAGCAGTTTTCCTACTGTGATTGTTCAAATTATAGCCCTTTAAAGACCAAAAGTGGAAAAAAATATTGCACATACTTTTTCTAATTCAATTAAGTAAAAAATATATATTTTAAAGAACTTAAATATTCAGTAAAATGAGACGTATCAGGCCTGGGTAGAGGTAAACTGAAAACATTAATAAAATATAACATTATATATAATACATAATATAAAATATCTTAAGTTAATAACTGAATTCACTACACCAGAGAATGGAACAACATTATCAAAACAGTATAAGACAAGGGAAACCTGAAATTGTTGTACCAGTGGGACAAAACCGAAAATCAAGAAATTTGTGGTAATCATTTGAGCCCCCATAAGTACTATATAAATATACAGTAGAATTTGCACTGAAAAAACAAGACAAAAAAACACAAACCTAATTCTTTATGCACTACAGAAGGCTTAGACACAAAATATCCACCCAGATGAGCAAAATGAAATAACAAGCAAAATATAGACAGACTCATAATAGAGAGCAGGCTTACAGATGTCGGAGTGGATAGGCTGGGTCGGGGGAGTAGAGGGATTGAGAAAAAAACAAAAAACACCCACAAAAAACAAGAGAAAAAGACTCATGGATATGGACAACAGTATGGTGATTGCCAGGGGGAGGGATGAAGGAGGAGGGTATAGGAGGATAAATGCTGATAAATGGAAATTTGACTTAGGGTGGTGAACACATAATACAGTGTACACAGATGATGTGTTGTAGAATTGTGCACCTGAAACTTGTATAATTTTGTTAACTAGTGTCACCCTAACAAACTCAATAAAAAGGGGGAAAAGAATAAAAATTATTATTCCTTTGTTTCTGTTGGAGGGGATCTATAATCAATAGTGCCAGAAAGTGCTGAAAAAGCAAGAGTGAGTGATAAAATATGAATCTTATGAGTGAAAAGCCCTAATATGAAAACCACAATTACTAAATAGGTTGGTAATAGTATATTAAATGCTACGAAATCTACCACACCTAGTTGATAAGAATACACAAAATGACCTTTGACTAATGCATAACATTTTAAAGAATTCTTATTTACTTGTTTCCTAAATTTTTAAGGGAACTGTCAGTGAATCTCATTCCAATCTGTCTATCCATAAACCAGCATACTAAGGAACAGAGAAGTTTTTCTGCTTCATTTATTAAGCCTTCAGAAAGGTGAATTGCATCATCATCTTGGACTGTATCCCACAACGGAGTGTTTCCTTTCTTGCAAATGTTATCCAAATTAATGTCTGTCACAGCATTACTGTTGAATTGATGTTTATGAACTGCAGGCCCTTGACTAAGATGTTCATGGTAAATAGATACTAAATTGGGGAAATGTTTTTGGAGATGAAATGTTAGTTCTGCATGTAAATTAATCTGAACTAGTTCCTCTTTACACCCAGATTCTTCACCATCAAAATCAGCCATATTTTTTTTCTGTAATTTTGCACTGACTTGGGAACTACTGTAACTGGCATTATTTGCGCTTAGCATATGATTATATTTGCCCGTGGTGTTGGAGGTGGTGATGCTGTGGACCAGTAAACTGTTGACAATTAAATCTGTTCACAATAGTCTCCCATGAAGTCCTCAGTGCATATAATAGAATATTCCTGAGTTATTTGTACTGTATAAGCAGCAATCATTTCCCCTGAAATATCATGTTCTGGGTCTTCAGAGTGTGAACAGGCATTTAGCATTTGTATTTGATTATCTACTCATAGTATTGACTCAGTGTTAAAAACCAGGTCCTTTCCTATTCTATTGCTTGTCCCACTTCTTTCTGATGGACCATGGGATTCCCTAAGCAAATGTTTGCTTGACTTTCTAATTTTGTTATGAATATCTATATCACAACAGCTTTTAGGATTATGATCATGATCATCATCTTCAATTTCTTCCTTAAGGTCTCAATATCTGCAGTGTCTTCTGTTTGTACCTCACTGCCAGGGCTCCCAGCTGACTGGTTTGCATGGTTAGAATTCATCTCATTGCCTGATCCATCACCATGTCTCCTGTTGCTACCAGGACCACTGTTCTATCTTCACACTGTTGTCAGTTTCTTCAGATCTTCCCTGCATGGATTCCTGTGTCTGAAAGTTGCTGTTGTACATGTTTGGTTCTATTAATAAGTTGCTAATCCATTTCAATGTCACTGCCTCCACTTCGGTGGGTTTCATTAAAATATCTCTGCTTTGAGGACTGGCTACAGGTAACCAAGGTGATGGAGCTGCTCTGAGATCTTCTTCCTCTTTCTTATTTCTAATGGGAGGATTAACATTTAATAAAGACGCAAAAGAACTCTGGATAGCTGAGCCTTAACTGCTAGTGCAGTATTCCATATTGTCTTAATTAATATTGATGCCAAGTACAACGCCTGTTCAGTTTGAACACTTGGCTCAAGAGCTGAGACTGGATTAAGGAGATGTCTAAGTGATACTGGATTCATATTCTTGATGAGTGAAGGAAATAAGTCATGTATATACCAATTACAGTGTTTCAGCCCAAATGCTGTCAGTATGCTGAGTTCTCAGGTCCCTTCCACTGCCAAAAAATGCAAAATCACTTGGCACTGTTTGATAATCTCAGTATGTAAATTTGGTTGAAATATGTGCCTCTTTCACCTTGTTGCTAAGCCAATCTTTTAAGTTCTTTTGCAGTGGACGTTTCTGTGTCTGATACCATGATTCATTACGGCATACATCATTGACTGTGTGAGGTTGATTTTGTTGTATGACTTAGTCCAGCCATCCTCGTAGTCAAAGTAGGTGATACAAAGTACTTAACTACAAGATATAGGCTTTCTTTATCAAAGCATAATGTATCCAGTGGTTCTTTCATTGTGTTTCACATTAAGTCAGCCAGTTGTAAGCCACACCCTGTCTTAAGTTCTGATCAGAGAACTTGCTGAAACACCTGATCACATAGGTGCTAAAAGGGATAATGTACTGCACAAAAGCAGGGATATATAGCCATATTCTAATAATAGATACAATTGTATTACATGCATGTGCTATAAAAAATGGCAGAGTTTCAGGACTTCCATATTCAAATCCTTCATAAGAGGCCATTTTCCTCACGAAACAAACATACATAAGAAAGTAGTGCAGTGGTGCTTCTATATCATTCATACCACAGAATACCTCAAATATATTGCTTTCTTGGGTTAATATATTTACTGTACTAGGATAAATATTACACTTGTAGGCAGAATATAAGGGAAATTGAATTTGAAAATTTGCCACACATAGTAAGAGTTTTTCCTTCTCATCTGTATTCCATAAATTAAAAGGATCAGAAAATTGAAGATTTCTCCTCAGTCAGATTAGAGTGTGATTTTTTCTATTGATTTTTGTCTTCCTGTACTTTCTTCGTTACACTCTCTTTCTGTAGTCAGAGGTTCTTCTGCTTGATTACTCTTATCTTGCCATGTGGAATCTGTGTTAATAGTAGTACAATGTTTCAAGCTGGCTACAATAGAGCACTTGAACTTGGGGAGCCACTAAGTTAATAAGTGAACCCACTACTTTGGTAAAAATCTCCAAATGCTTATATTCCTTGAAGCAGCATAGATATTGCTTGTGTGTCCAGGAATTGATACAGCAAATATTTTGAAAATACATTCCTTTCTGAGCTGTAGTCATCACCACCTTCTGTGTCTGTATCTCTGTTTATTGTTACCCTCAATTCTATAAGGCTCACCCTCCCTCAAGAAGTAAGACACCTTGATGTGACTAGAGATGGCAGAGTGAAAACTTGGATTTTTTAAATGTAAAATATGTTCTTTTGTCATGGAAGAATTGTTGGATAAAAAGCAATGTCAAGTCTGTCAATCAATTTAGGATGAATTAACTTTTCCCATAAAAATTTTGTGTTTAGGCTGCTGAAAGCCTTCACAAGACCATTGTTAAGAGGCGAATGTCTCATGTGAGTGGAGGAGGATCCATAGATTTGTCTGACACCGACTCCCTACAGGAATGGATCAACATGACTGGCTTTCTTTGTGCTCTTGGGGGAGTGTGCCTGCAGCAGAGAAGCAATTCTGGCCTAGCAACCTATAGCCCACCCATGGGCCCAGTCAGTGAACGCAAGGGTTCCATGATTTCAGTGATGTCCTCAGAAGGAAATGCAGACACACCTGTCAGCAAATTTATGGATCGACTGTTGTCCTTAATGGTGTGTAACCATGAGAAAGTGGGACTTCAGATAAGGACCAATGTGAAGGATCTGGTGGGTCTGGAATTGAGTCCTGCTCTTTATCCAATGCTATTTAACAAATTGAAGAATACCATCAGCAAATTCTTTGACTCACAAGGACAGGTAAAGTGTGCTCTGCTTAATTTTTTACCTTTCCCTACGAATAGAGTGACTATTAAAATAATGAAGCCCTTTTGTTTATTTAGTAAATTTTGGCATGAACATTCACTCACAAGTCTTAAAAGAAATAGGCAGAAAATGACATAAAAAAAAGAATTCTCTAATGTGGGATCAGTTTGCTTTTTAGGAACTCTAGTGTGTGGGTGTGCCTGGGGTTATGAATATCTTAGGTATGGGTATGAGTGTCTATGCATAGCTCTGTGCCTGTTTGGATATATGCCTGTGGGCGCATTTCTGCATATGTTAGACATTTAGATCAGGCAGCTTCATATCTCTCTGATCTGTCTACTGTGCATTGATTCCAGATGTATTTTGTTCCTTGTATAGGTTTTATTGACTGACACCAATACTCAATTTGTAGAGCAAACTATAGCTATAATGAAGAATTTACTAGATAATCATACTGAAGGCAGCTCTGAACACTTGGGGCAAGCTAGCATTGAAACAATGATGTTAAATTTGGTCAGGTAAGCATTCTATTGAAATGTAGCAGAAATACATTGGTTTTAGTAGTTATTAGTGAAATAATTTGCCATCCTTTTCTTTATTGCTCCCAAATTAGGGTGTGACAATAAGGTAACCAGAAGTTATGTATGTTCTATTGTAAATAAAATAAAAATCTTGTAGCTTTTATAGTTACTTTTAGTAATTTTATATAGAGATTAAAGCATTTAGAAAACCTCTTTTGTTTGTATCTGATAATTTTTTTTGAATGTTTCTATGTCCAAATAGATATGTCCGTGTGCTTGGGAATATGGTTCATGCGATTCAAATAAAAACGAAACTGTGTCAGTTAGTCGAGGTAATGATGGCAAGGAGAGATGACCTCTCATTTTGTCAAGAGATGAAATTTAGGTGAGTTCTTAAAAGAACAATGCAGAGTCTTCTAAATCTTACTATGTTAAATGAAGTACAGGAAAATGGTAGGTACCTGGTTATTATGGGAAGCGGGGATGGAGAGTGGGAAAGGAGCATTTTAGGTGTCAATTTTTCTCCATGTCTTTTTAAATTTCCCAAAGCTTTGTGCCCATGACAGCGCGCCCTTTTTCAAAAATTACACTATCCTTGAGCTAAGAATTTGATTCTGTTTCCAAACAGATACATAGCTAACTATAACATGGAGGGTCAGTATCCAAGTCCCTTCTGTTAGATTTGTGAGAGCAATATCTCTTTTAGAAACTTGTCATGTTTCCTGGGTTATTTGGCACATTGTGTGCACTATTTAAAAAGGTGTATGTATGACTTAAAAATTTGTTTGCTTTTTTTTTTCCTCTCTACCATTCTATAGGAATAAGATGGTAGAATACTTGACAGACTGGGTTATGGGAACATCAAATCAAGCAGCAGATGATGATGTAAAATGTCTTACAAGGTAAAAAAGAGAATGACCTTAAGTATCAGCAGGTTTACTCTAAGCATTGGTACTACTTCATTATAGCTATTATACATACATTTTATGTGTAATGAAATTATTTTTCTGGATATCAAGCTCTTGCATTTGAATTTATACTTTTTTTTTTAACTAAAAGACTTACAGTAAAAAAAAATGTGAGAGTTTTATGTTTGGAGAGTTAGTGTTGCATATTTCTGAAGGATCGTGTGTAATTATTGGAAAATAAAATATGTAAAGCCTTAAATTATATTTATTTTATGGTTAGATAAAAATCTTGTAGCTTTTATAGTTACTTTTATGTAATTTTACTTAGAGATTAAAGCATTTAGAAAATCTCTTGTTTACATCTGATAAATGTATTATTTGTTAATGTATTAGTTGTTTTGAGTCCTTTTAAAGCTAATTAAGTTTACTCTAATGACAAGTATTTATTGCCACATATTAGAAAATAATTAATTACTGTGAACTGCATAATAACCATTTACATGTATTCCTTTGGCCAGACTTGGTTTTGAAGTGCATTCTCTTGATTTAAGGTAGTCATTTTGCCAAGATTACTTTGTAGAAAGTTATTGTCACCCTCTCCTAAACTTGAAATGTTTTTGTATTCTGGAGTCTGCATATTAACTCAAATCATTTAGGTTTTCCTAATAACGTGTTTAATGAAATAGGTAGCTCCTAAAGTTTGTGTCTGTTAGGAAGAAATTTATTTGAGGGGATGGTGGAGTGGAAGAACCTGAAAAACTTATTATGGTCTTTAAACATTTTTTTCTTCAGAGATTTGGACCAGGCAAGCATGGAAGCAGTAGTTTCACTCCTGGCTGGCCTTCCACTGCAGCCTGAGGAAGGAGATGGTGTGGAACTAATGGAAGCCAAATCACAGTTATTTCTTAAGTAAATTTCTGTTACCAAAAACACAAAGCAAAAAACAAAGTCCCATACAACCAAAGAAAGAAAGTGTGATCAAAGTGATAAATTGTTATATTTAGAACATGGACATCATTGCTTTGGTATTATGGCCATCAGCTGTTGTCTCATAAAATATAACACATGCATGAAGCAGTATTCCCTGTGTCAGGAGTGGGATAGGAGAACAACTGTGTTTTGTGATTTTTAAAGAAAATTATCTGACCAGTGACTTTTTATTGGCAGTAAAACCCAGATCACCTATTTGGACCACTAATTTTATATGCTAGGCATTAAAAGTGATGTACTTACATTGCATCTATTTGGAATATATACTGGGCTTTGTCAGGGCAAAATCATATTCAACAGAGCACACTTCATAATTAGCCACACTAGCTGATTACCCCAAGACTGGAGAGTAGCAGATACTCAAGACCCACTCATGAAATATACATGTGATGATTTCAGAATGTCTCGTTAGTTTTCTGGTTGATGTGGCCTTCACTGTATAAGGGTCAGTCTTTTTATTTCTCAGGTATTTCACATTGTTTATGAACCTTTTGAATGACTGTAGTGAAGTTGAAGATGAAAATGCACAAACAGGTGGCAGGAAACGTGGCATGTCTCGGAGGCTGGCATCACTGAGGCACTGTACAGTCCTTGCAATGTCCAACTTACTCAATGCTAATGTGGACAGTGGCCTCATGCATTCCATAGGTGAGATAAAATGAGAGCATATAGGAATTTAAAACTTAGAGAATTGGCATATAAGACGAGTAAAATTATTTCAGCAAGGTCATGTTAGTAAATTTGCGTCTATCTATCCATATCAGGTTTAGGTTACCACAAAGATCTCCAGACAAGAGCTACATTTATGGAAGTTCTGACTAAAATCCTTCAACAAGGCACAGAATTTGACACACTTGCCGAAACAGTGTTGGCGGATCGGTTTGAGAGACTGGTGGAGCTGGTCACGATGATGGGTGATCAGGGAGAGCTCCCTATAGCTATGGCTCTGGCCAATGTGGTTCCTTGTTCTCAGTGGGTAAGTTCATTGAAGGTGGAAAAGAAAAGTGCCTGCCACATAGCAGATGGTTCAGAATTCATTTGTTCAGTGAATGTTTATTGAATGAATTGCTGAAACTTTAGAGCTGGAAGAGACTTCAGATATTATTTGAGTGGTTTTCAGCTGTGGGGAAGTGGTTGGAGCTTAGTCCTCACTAGTATTCTTACCTTAAGTATGAGGATCATACCGATCCACACATTTTAAAGTAAAATTCGGACTTCTGACCTGTCCTACTGAAAAACTCCATTTAAATACTGATGAAAAGAAAATTAAAACCACTGATCTGGTCTGGTGTCTTCATATACTAACTGAGATAATTAGTGTTAAATCTCATATTTAGTTGTTAGTAATGCTAGCACTAGAATTCAAGGCTTGTGCCTGTTTACTATCCCCAATTCTTGACTCTTTTTCTATAATGCATTTTACAATTTTTTAAAAATTTAAGCACTCTTATTTGCATTTGAAATTCTGATGGTGCATGTTTTATTTATATTTATTTATTTTTTAATATATTTTTATTGATTTCAGAGAGGAAGGGAGAGGTAGATAGAAACAGCAATGATGAGAGAGAATCATTGATCGGCTGCCTCCTGCACGCCCTCTACTGGGGATTGAGCCCGCAACCTGGGCATGTGCCCTTGATTGGAATCGAACCTGGGACCCTTCAGTCTGCAGGCTGAAGCTCTATACACTGAGCTTCTAGGGCTGATGTTGCATATTTTAAACACTGAAAACATAATGTGGCTATTTGAATTCTTAATAAAAATTTTCCTAAAACCATATCATTCTTAATAATATATGCTAAAAATATGGGAAGGAATTCCCTTTCCATGTTAAAAAGATGCTTAGTTTATATTGTACGAAAAATGGTTTCAGTTTAGTAAATTATAACTAATATGGTAATCTGTCATTGCCTGTAAATTTCTGCTATAAAAAGCTATAGGATCTTATTCTTCATACTTAAAAGTAAAGCTCAAATTCTGGCTCTACGCTACCTGGCCCTACCTCATCTCTGACATTATCATATGCCATTTTCCTTTTTTTTTTTTTTTTTTAAATATATTTTATTGATTTTTTACAGAGAGGAAGGGAGAGGGATCGAGAGTTAGAAACATCCATGAGAGAGAAACATTGATCAGCTGCCTCTTGCAACCCCCTACTGGGGATGTGCCCACAACCAAGTTACATGCCCTTGACCGGGATCGAACCTGGGATTCTCAGTCTACAGGCCGACGCTCTAGCCCAGGGGTGGGCAAACTTTTTGACTCGAGGGCCACAATGGGTTCTTAAACTGGACCAGAGGGCCGGAACAAAAGCATGGATGGAGTGTTTGTGTGAACTAATATAAATTCAAAGTAAACATCATTACATAAAAGGGTACGGTTTTTTTTTTTTTTTTTAGTTTTATTCATTTCAAACGGGCCGGATCTGGCCCACGGGCCGTAGTTTGCCCACGGCTGCTCTAGCCACTGAGCCAAACTGGTCAAGGCCATTTTCCTTTTTATTCACCAAACTTAAACCACACTGGCCATGAAACATGTTTGGGTTGTTTCCACCCTCCAGTACTCTTACTGCTGCTGCTACCTCTACTGCCTGGAATGCTTCTTCCCTGATCTCTAAAATGGCCGACTTCTTGTTCTTCAAGTTTCAGTTCAGATGTACTTTCTTAGTGAAGTCTTTTCTGACCATCCAATCAAAACCACACCCACAGTCATTCTGTCACATTACCTTGTTATATTTTCTTGGTAGTATTTATTCACTATGTGAAATTAATGTGTTTATTTGAGAATTTACTCTTAAGTCCCTAGAATGTGAGCTCTGTGAGAGCAGAGACCTTGTCCCCTGTTCACTCCAAGCCTCTTCTCAGAATGTGTGGTTAAACAATGATTTATTATCACATCATTTTTCTTGAGTATACCCCAAAATACTTTACCATGGGCAATCATGAGGGTTATCATTTAGGTACTAGATAGGAATTAGTCATTCACCCTCACTTTGTACATAAATCTTGCTAATGTTTTGGTTCTGCATGTACCAGGTCTATTTCCTGATTTCCTCCTACAAATCTTGTAGTCTTTTCATTTTTGTTGTTTCTCTGGCCCATATTCAGAAAACAGTGAGTTTCTCTGACCATATGAGATCTCTTATGGTCACCAAAGTCTTATTCTTGCTCACTTTTTTTCTGAGAAAATCATCTGTGCATATCAAGCTAAACTCTTTGCCATCATCTTCTGTTAGGCATATAAGAATAGTCCTCTATTATAGACATACTAGAGGCCCGGTGCACGAATTCGTGCATGGGTACCCACAGTCCAACGCTGCCTGCAGCTCCTGCTTGCAGCTCCTACCTGCCGCTCCCGCTCATCCTGGCCCCACTGCACCTGCCATGGGCTCATGCCCAATCAGTCCCAGTTGATCGGGAGAGGCTCGCACTGTTGCAGCAGTGTTCACCAGCTGTGAGCCCTGCGTCTGGCACCCTCTCAAGGGGAGTGGCTTGTGGGATCAGGCTGAAACGGGCTCTCCGACATCCCCTGAGGGTTACTGGATTGTGAGAGAGTGCAGGCCAGCCTGAGGGACCCCACTGTTGCACTATAGGGCCAGGGAGGGACCGTGGGAGGGCTCCAGGGCGTGTCTAGCCCCGCCTTGCCCAGTCCTGATCTGGGCCAGCCGGGGAAGGAAGCGGGAGGTTGGCCAGCTGGGGAGGGAGAGCTCCAGTGTGTGTCCGACCCATCTCACTCAGTCCCAATCGCCCGGACGACAGCAGCAAGCTAACTTACCGATCAGAGCATCTGTCCCCTGGTGGTCAGTGCAAGTCATAGCGAGCGGTTGAGCAGCCTTAGCATATTGTTAGCATAGTATGCTTTGATTGGTTGAACAATGACCAGTCACCAGACACTTAGCATATTAGGCTTTTGTTATATAGGATGAACACAAATAAATGCAGGGAGGAAAATTAATCAGTCACCATTTATCTTGATTCAGTTTCCTGCATAAGAGAAAATAGGATTATCCACCCTAACAGAGTTTGTTTTGTTCTCAGGATGAACTAGCTCGAGTTCTGGTGACTCTATTTGATTCTCGGCATTTACTCTACCAACTGCTCTGGAACATGTTTTCTAAGGAAGTAGAATTGGCAGACTCCATGCAGACTCTTTTTCGAGGGAACAGCTTAGCTAGTAAAATAATGACCTTCTGTTTCAAGGTTTGTATCCATTCATCTGTTTTTTATGTGTGAAGGTATGGCAATGATTTTGTACAGAATGTACAGAGCAAGTACCCTGCATTAAGGGTACTTGAATCAGGCATAATAAATTCCTACTTGTGTATTTCTTTAGGTATATGGTGCTACCTACCTACAAAAACTCCTGGATCCTTTATTACGAATTGTGATCACATCCTCTGATTGGCAGCATGTTAGCTTTGAAGTGGATCCTACCAGGTTTGTCATCTTTCATCTATAACTGCTCTTCGTTTTTTTTCACTACCACTATAATGGTAGGGCCTGAGTAGAGGCACTGTACAATGGTAAATCCTTGCCCTCACAATTTCTCCCCTTGATTCTTAAAATTAGTCTTTAGCCTGGCTGGTGTGGCTAAGTGGTTGAGCATCGATTTATGAACCAGGAAGCCATGGTTCAATTCCCTGTTAGGGTCAGGGCACATGCCCGGGTTGCAGGCTCAATCCCTAGTAGGGGGTGTGCAGGAGGCTGCCAATCAGTGATTCTCATCATTGATGTTTCTATCTCTCTTCCTCTCCTGCTCTGAAATTGTTAAAAATATATTTTTAAAAATTAGTCTTTAATTATGAAAGTTACATGCAAATACATTTTTCTTAAAAAACAATTGCAGTTATCATTAAAGGTGGCTATGACTACCATCTTGGAGATTTAGCACTGTTACTTTAATTTGTTTTTCTGTCCTTTTTTTAATGCATTTGCATATATATATGTAGCTGTAGAAACTGTATATTAGCATGTGAGTGCTCAATATAAATAGTAGCATATTGCTACATGGTTTTGCAACTTAAACTTTTTAATTGCAGGATTCTGAAGTGATGACTTTTGAGTGTCCCAAGCATTTATGTAATATATAAATTAGCATATAAGTAAAAATTACTAATTAAAAGATTGAAAACAAGAATTCAATACTTGGTAACAGTGCTAGTTTTTAAGGGTACAAAGATGAGTCCCCTTAAAGGAACTTCCTTCCTTCAAGGAGTTTACAGTTTAGTAGGAGATAAGACATATTACACGTAGTTAAGAGTGAGTTTCATAGGGGATGTGTTTTGAGAGTTCAGATTATGCCAGTTGGGGAGCCCGAGTAAAGCTTTGTGGATGTGATAGCCATTGGGTGAAATTTTAACCCAATAAATAGGCAGAATTATTATTACTGGGTTATTGATGAAAAAAAATTGAGGCCCAGAGAAGTTAAATGTCTTGACCAAGGCCATAGAGATCTGTGTGGTAGAGCTGAAATGTGTAACATATTTTATAAGTAGCATTTCACATAAAGTAAACAGATCAGTCTTTCCTGGGTAAACCTGACACAAAAGTAAGTCTGTTTTCTGAATTTCTGCCTTTAATCACAACACCAAGACTTTAGAGATCATATTGAATTGGTAACCCTGATTGAATGGGGGCAGTAATGGAGTATACCAGGCATGTGGAGACATCAGAGGTCACCAGAATGACGTGATTGGGACAGTGATGGTGCCATTGACAGCATGGGGAGCAGCACAGGGTAAGACAGAGTAGGAGAAAAGATCAGTTAATTTTGGGCAAACTGAATTTTAGATACTGGTGGGAGAGACACCTAGCAGTTAGAAATATCAGGCTGGATATAAAAGGCAGTTCAAAATAGGGGAAACATGAAGGACCACAAAATACATGAAAGTGTGTCTAACTTGACCAGAAGTCATGGAAATAAAAGTTAAAAAACATGAGATGCCCTTTCCTACCTACTAGATTGGCAAAAAAAAAAAATAAATTAAAAATAAAAATCACATACTGAATTTGTACAAATATAATAAGAATTTTAATACACAATTTGTAAAATTTCTTTTTTTATAGTTGGCTTGTTCAAATCAAGAAGCTAACAAAGTCCAAGCATTGTATTTGGCTAATTTGGCTGAATATCTCTTAAGTAGTCTCTTTTAAGGAGTATTTTGTTTGTTTTTAATTTACTTGACTTTTTTTTGTAGGTTAGAACAGTCAGAGAGCCTTGAGGATAACCAGCGAACCCTCCGTCAGATGACTGAAAAGTTCTTCCATGCCATCATCAGTTCCTCCTCGGAATTTCCCCCTCAGCTTCGAAGTGTGTGCCACTGTTTATACCAGGTATGCTTAAGGTTAGAGATTACCATTATTGATCCAAAGCTAAATTAAAAAGAATGCTTTACCAAAGAGGAATTTAGCTTTTGATAGTGGGTGATTAATAATACTGAGTCAATTTAGAAGGGTAAAGCATTAAAAATTGTTGAAATCGGCTTTGAAAATAACAAATATTCGGAGACAGTTTTAGGTATTTTAAGGAGGTTCTTTAAAATAATAATTTTTTCTTGTATTGAGAGCAAGTTTAAGATGCACCAGATATATTGGGTATAATGAATGTGGTTGAAATGAGATATATTATGCAATTTATTTTGTTTGCTATCTTTTGCCTGTATTACTCATAGGTTCTTTAACATATGAAACAGGTTTACTACCTGCTTTTTGCATTGTGAGGCTTGATCTATAATTTTGATTTCTTCATTAAGATATAATATTTGCCTGGCTGGCATGGCTCAATGGTTGAACTGTGAACTAGGAGGTCACAGTTCGAGTCCCAGTCAGGGCATATGCCTGGGATGCAAGCTTGAATCCCCAGTGTGGGGCGTGTAGGAAGCAGCCGATCAATGATTATCTCTCAACATTGATGTTTCTATCTCTCCCTCTCTCTTCCTCTCTGAAATCAATAATAAAAAAATATATTTTTTAAAAAGATAAAATGTTTTTGTGTCAGATTTTCCCAGGAAAGACTGATCTGTTTATTTTATGTGAAATGCTACTTAGAACATATGTTGCACCATCATTTAGATCGAGTTATTAGATATTTTAACGCTAGCACTATAAATAATTGCCTCTGAGTTCAGATGTCCACAGTCATTCCTACTTGTTGAGGAAATTAAGTCTTTATTTTTTATGGTTTCCATTTTGTTTTTGAATTGCATATGCATTCATTCCAAAGGAGATTAATGCAAATCCACTTAGCCTGTTTAAACTGTGATTCTGGAAGAAACATTAATAGGTCTAGAGTTAGGGACTCCTGGAGGAAGAATTTATGCTTTTACCAAAACCCATGCCTTTCTCTTTTAATCCTCAACCGAGGATATGTTTTTATTGATTTTAGAGAGAGAGGAAGGGTTAGAGAGTATGAAACATTGATATGAGAGAGAAACATTGATTGGTTGCCTCCCTCACTTGCCCTCTCTGGGGGTCAAACCCGCAACCTAGGTGTGTTCCCTCACCGGAATCAAACCTGCAACCTTTTGGTGTACAGAGGACACTCCAACCCAGCGGTCGCCAACCTTTCGGACCTCGTGGACCGCTGCTTCAAAGGTTTCCTTAAACCAGCGGTCACCAACCTTTTGGGCCTCACGGGCCACCAGTGATCCGTGGACCACCGGTTGGCAATCACTGCTCCAACCAACTGAGCCATCAGCCAGGGCCAAATCCCATGCCTTGTGTCTTCTTTCTTTTAAGAGTCATTCTCATCCATTTGTGTTTTAGCATAGAGCTTTAGTTGCTTAGAGACATTAGTAAGATCACCGAAATTACCATTTTCAGGCTTTATTTATGTCAGATAAAAATAGAGTTTAAGCCAAAAATAGGAAAAAGAGACAAAGAAGGTCATTATGTAATGATGAACGGGTCAGTACATCAAGAAGATATAGGAATTGTATATTTATGTGCCTAACATTGGAGCACCTAAATATATAAAGCAAAAAATAACAGAGCTAAATGGAGAAATAAACATTAGAACAATAATAGTTGGGTAATTTATCCCACTCTCAACAATGGATAAATCATCTATAGAATCAGGAAAAAGCAGACCTAAAAGATACATATAGAACATCCTGTCCAACAACACCACAATACACATTCTTCTCAAAGACACAGAGAATATTTTCTAGGATAGATTATATGTTAGGCCACTAAACAAGTTTTAGCAAATTCAAAATCGAAATCATGATGAGCAAGTATTTCTTTTGACCACAATGACGTGAAACTAGAAATAAATAATAAGAGGAAAACTGGAAAATTTATGAACACATAGAAGTTAACACTCTCCTGAACAGTCAGTAGATCAAAGAAGAAATTAAAGGGGAAATAAAAAAATTTCTTGAGATAAATGACAACAGAAACACAACATAACAAAACTTGTGGGATGCAGCAAAAGCAGTTCTAAGAGAGAAATGCATAGCAATAAATACCTTCATTAAAAAGCAAGAAAGATCCCAAATAAACAACCTAATTCTATACCTTTAGGAACTAGAAATGGGGCCTTTGGGAGATGCTTAGGTCATTAGGATGGAACCCTCATGAATGAAATTAGTGCTTTTATAAAAAAGACCCCAGAAATCTCCCTTGCCCCTTCCATCATATGAGGACACAGCGGGAAGATGGCTGTCTATGAACCAGGGTTCTCATCAGATATTGAATCTGCATGTGCCTTCATCTTAGACTTTCTAGCCTATAGAACCGTGAGAAATATTTGCTGTTTAAGCTTAAAAAAGAAAGAAAAAAAGACTGAATCAGGGCAAAATAAAAAATCTGAATAAACCAATTACTAGGAAGGAGATTGAATCAGTAATCAAAAATCTCTCATGAAGAAATGCCCAGGACCAGATGGCTTCACTGGTGAATTTTACCCAACACTTAAAAAATTAACACCAATCCTTCTCAAACTCTTTCCAAAAATTTAAGAGGAGGCAACACTCCCAAACTTATTTTACAAAGCCAGCATTATCCTGGAGGAAAAAAAAAACAAAAAACAAGAACAGCTCTAGCGGTTTGGCTCAGTGGATAGAGCGTCGGCTTGTGGACCAAAGGGTCCCAGGTTCAATTCTGGTCAAGGGCACATACCTGGGTTTCAGGCTCGGTCCAGTATGCAGGAGGCAGCCAATCTATGATTCCCTCTCATTGTTGATGTTTCTATCTCTCTCTCCCTCTTCCTTTCTCTCTGAAATCAATAAAAATATATTTTAAAAACAAGCAAACAAATAAGAACACCCAGAAACTGAATATATATGCAAACATCTACACTAATAAAAGAGAAACATGCAAATTGGTGTCACTCCGCTACACCCACCAGCCAATCAGGATGAGTATGCAAATTAACTCAACAAAGGTGGCGGTTAATTTGCATATGCAGACGCGGAGTGAAGACTGAAGGCTCCGCCCAAGTGAAGACTGAAGAGGCTTGCCTTCTCTGCTGTGGCCGGAGCGAAGGCCTGGGTCCCAGGTGCCAGAGGAAAACCGATGCCGGCAGCCAGGGGAAGGAAGGCCTATTGCATGAATCTTTTTGTGCAATGGGCCTCTAGTTCTCAAAAAAATTCTAGCAAACAGAATTCAGCAGCACATTAAAAGGAAGTTGTGTGTGTCCCTGAGATGCTAGGATGGTTCCACATATGTAAATCAGTGTGATACATCACATTTTAAAAAATAGTTTTTTATTGATTTCAGAGAGGAAGGGAAAGGGAGAGAGAGTTAGAAACATCAATGATGAGAGAGAATCATTGATCGGCTGCCTCCTACATGTACCCTATTGGGGATCAAGCCCTAAACCGTGCATGTACCCTTGATTAGAATCTCCTTGATTAGAAACATTTATAAGGAACTCATGAAACTTAATAATAGGAAGATAAACAATCCAATCAACAAATGGGCAGTGGACCTAGAGAGACACTTTTCGAAAGAGAACATACAGAGGGCCGAAAGACATATGAAAACATGCTCAAAGTCACTATACGAGAGATGCAAATCAAAACAACTATGCAGTATCACCTCACACCTGTCAGAATGGCTATCATCAACAAATCAACAAACAACAAGTGTTGGAGAGGATGTGGAGAAAAAGGAACCCTTCTGCACTGCTGGTGGGAATGCAGACTGGTGCAGCCACTGTGGAGAACAGTATGGAGCTTCCTCAAAAAACTAAAAATGGAACTCCCATTTGACCCAGTGATCCGAAGAAGCCAGAAACACCAATCAGAAAGGATATATGCACCCCTATGTTCATAGCAGCACAATTCACCATAGCTAAGATTTGAAAACAGCCTAAGTGCCCATCAGCAGATGAGTGGATTAGAAAACTGTGGTACATCTACACAATGGGATACTACGCTGTGGTAAAAAAGAAGGAACTCTTGCCTTTTGCAACAGCTTGGATGGAACTGGAGAGCATTATGCTAAGTGAAATAAGCCAGTCAGAGAAAGATAAATACCACATGATCTCACTCATTTGTGGACTATAGAGAACAACATAGACCAGGGGTGGGCAAACTTTTTGACTCGAGGGCCACAATGGGTTCTTAAACTGGACCGGAGGGCCGGAACAAAAGCATGGATGGAGTGTTTGTGTGAACTAATATAAATTCAAAGTAAGCATCATTACATAAAAGGGTACGGTCTTTTTTTTTTTTTTTAGTTTTATTCATTTCAAATGGGCCGTAGTTTGCCCACGGCTGACATAGACTGATGAACAGGGACAGATCCAAAGACAGAGAAACAGCAATCAGACTATTAGTCCCCAGAGGGAAAGTAGGGGAGGGTGGGGGTAAGGGGAAGAGATCAACCAAAGGACTTGTATGCATGCATATAAGCCAAACCAATGGACATGGACAACAGGGGGATGAGAGCATGAGTGGGGGGAGGGGTGGAAGGATGGGGGTTAATGGGGGTGGGGAATGAGGACACATTTGTAATTCCTTAACTAATAAAGGATTTAAAGATTAAAACAATAAATAAATAAAAAATAAAGAAGAGAATCATATGGTCATCTCATTAGCTGCAGAAACAGCATTTGACAAAATTCAACCATTATTCAAGATAAAACCTCTTAAAAATTAGGCATAGAGGAACATATCTCAACATAATAAAGGTCATATAGGACAAGCCCATAGCCAATATCATATTTAATGCTGAAAAGTTGAAAGTTTTCCTTCCAGGATCAAGAACAAGAAAAGGGTGACCACTCACCACTCCTGTTCAGCATAGTACTAGAAGTTCTAGCTAGAGCAATTGAATAAGAAAAAGAAATAAGCCCTGGCTGGTGTGGCTAAATGGTTGGAGCACTG